GCCTGGTGGGTGACGCCACACTCACTCACTCTTTGACATCATTGGAACACCGTAGAAAGGTCGGCGACCTTTCACTTTTCTATCGATACTTCCACGGGAAATGTTCTTCGGAAATCTCTGCTATCATCCCTTCACTAGCAATACCAATCAGACGAACTAGACAAGCCCAGTCAGCACATCCTTTCGTTGTCAACCTCGAAAGATGTCGAACAGCACTTTATCAAGACTCCTTCATTCATAGAACGGCTAGGCTCTGGAACTCATTGCCTGTGGAAGTATTCCCAACAACATATGATCTCCAAAAGTTCAAAAAAAAATTCCAATACCTACCTCCTGTCCCTATCCTTCCTAGGAACGCACGATGTTCTTTGAACATTATAGGGATTCCCTTTCGTGCGCTCCAAGCGATAAAAAAAAGTGAACTACCAGCTTGCTGAATATTCAATTGATTGAAACCTTTTGTAACTGACTCTAACAATTGTGACTTTTGCTGAAGAAATTCACAGAAATCATTGAATGTTGACATATATTTATTTTTAGCTGATTTACTTTCCCACTCTCGCCTTGTGACTTGATGAGTCTTGATGCTGTTAAATGAACAAGTATTGAACTCCATGCATCTGTGGGTTCCCCCAAACATTTTAATGCACGAATGTATTTTCTCAAGGTATCTAAGAACTGCTGTAATTGTTTATGATTTTCTCTGTTTATTTGAGGAACCTCGAAAAGTGCTTTAATGTGATTGTTTCTAATTATCTTTTTATTCTCATAACATGTTTTTAGAAGATCCCAAGCAATCTCATAATTGGAAGCTGAAACTTCAATGGAATGAATAACTTCTTGTGCTTCACCACTCAAACTTATTTATACAAATCCCTATCTGGAAGACCTTCTTCTTTTCTTTGTATTTCTGGTTTGGCTTTTTATAATATTGAATCTGTTATCGCTAATGTCTTATAAAAATCATTTTCAAACTTGCTTCTATCTACTTCATGGTCCTCTGCGTGGTCCCATGTATTTTGTATTCCGTCTAGTGACTCTATTTCTAACTGGACATTTTCATATTCTATTAAATATCATTTGAGTTGTTGTCTTCTTAACGTTAACTCTGTCAAATCTGACTCCTCTGTGACACCCTTAAGGTACTTAGTAAATCTTGTGAGCTTCCCTCTGACTGCTCACAGCCTGTACACCAATACTTCCATGATGAGAAGATTGAATTTATATAGGAGACTCACCTTCTTGCTGCTAGCTTTGCCTGACCAAAACCCCTTACTATTTAATCCTCACTCCGGCTCAGCATCTGAATAGATGATTCTATGTCTCCATAATCTTCGTCATGGCTTCAACAACTCGGTGCGGTGAATAATCGATGATCTCACTGACAGTTTTTGACGATCAAACGTGACAGTGATTGACTTTTTCCTGGCTTGGCACCTGAATATTTTCCTGCATCCAGCTCGTTTTGGACCAATGTTAAATTCGATGAAATGTGTATTTTCTACAAGCGTGCGTGATTCACCCTATACCCGCACGCAATTTAGTTTGGGAAGTGTCATTTTCCCGCAACATTGCGGGAAAATCTTTCTCACACTGGTTCGGGAAATTTTTTCCCGCACTAGTGCGGGAAAAACAAAGATATAATAATATGGCAAAATATAAGTGGTAGGTGATGAAATATGAGAGTTTGAGTTTGTTTGTTGCAGTATTAAGTATCTATGTTCAGAATCATCCATCAAATTGCACTATTTATTGTGAAAATTGAGAAATATTGAAAACTAAAAATTGATTATTAGTTTGTAATTGTCGAAGTGACAGACACAGCGTTACTGTCATTTTCGATTCAGTGGAATTGCCACAATGTGATCAAAAACTTCAGCTATAGGGATGCGATACAGATGCGTTATATTGCCAACGAACTCTTGAGAAAGGTATGAGAAGCTATACACCGTTTTATTGAATGGTGCAACAATAAAGAAATGAAAATACCGAATAAAGAAGATGTATTTCTTAGAAGTGTCTGAAACCTAGAGACCAAACACCTTATGGGCCTGCTGGCATCCGCAATGAACCTATACATAATGCGTCAAACTGTAAGTTCACAATACCTATTACTAATAATCAGTAGATAGAGAATATATTTCTCTTGTTAGTTGTTCCTATATGAATGAATAATTAATTGAACAAATCAATCAATTTCCTACGCTTGTAGAAAAAATATTGTTCCTAACTCATGCGGAAAGTGTCTTTCCCGCACTCGACTAGCAGTCGCGTGCGGGAAAGAATCACTTTCCGCACTTGTTAGGGAAATTACTATTTCAATCGGACTGAGCTTTGTGCCTCTGTGTGAGACACTTTGATTTTGAATAACTGAATGGACTGTATTTTTTGTGAGAATATATTTCAAAAGAGCAATTTCTTACAACTCAACTCTTAGTAATAATGATTTATTACTATCGTTACTAACAATGTAACTTGATGAACATGATGCGAACATATTGTGACCCTGGCGATCAATCCCAGCTACCTGCTATACGGAAGTAAATAAACCGTATTTCTTGGAATAGTAATTAGGTGATTCGACGGCTATTGAGATGACTCGAGAAGATTATCGACCTGTTCACGATATTTCGAGTGGAATCTAGACGTTTTATTAGGTAGTATAAATAGTTGTTGTTAGGGACAGGAAGAAAAGTCTTTATTTGGAAGCGTTATAATAACGATCGAAGAAGTGTTGTGAATCGGAAGTGTTTAGTACGAGTATTGTAATTATTGTATAGTAGTGTTCAGAATAAATCGTTTTCAAGTGTTCTACCGAGTGTTAAATTATTACGGACCCAGAGTAAAATCGTAACAATATTATTATACAGGATCGTCTAAAAACCCTGTTAATTGATACATAGGCAGAAAGAGTGAGAAGGGCAGTGTCGCGAAGTGGGAAATACATATAGTGTGTTACATTTTGGTCCACCCCACCCCTGTACTTTCGTATTCCTAGGGCGATTTGGATTTTTTTTCTCACAGTATACTACTCAAAATTATACAGGGTGTATCTGAATAACACCGAAAAAATTCAAGGGGCGATTCCTTGTGATATTTTAGGAAATAAAGTTCATGTGAACATGTGTCCTAACTTGCTTCATTTTCGAGATACAGGGTATTAATATTTCCATGAAAAATCTTTTTATATTCATTTCTCAATTGTCTTTTCATCAATTTCAATAAAACGTTGTGGTTTTGTTGATAGTAATATATGGAGCTTCCTCTAGTGCAATTAGATTCGAAATAATATTTCCAGTGGCTTCACAGTGGAAATTTATCGATATTTATGGTGAATGTCATTGTACGCCACCGGTTTCATATTTTTGTTAGATTGAACTATTGAAATAACAACTTTTTTATCCACTGTGTGATTTTTGTATCAAGACTTCCATTGAGATTACTCAATAACCCCAATCACAATCATTGTGAAATTTTAAAGCTTCCTCAGTCTCTCACCATACTGAATTTTCGCACCATGAAAGCTTATACAGGGAGGTTATAAATAAAAACAATTGAAACTTCCAACTTCAACATCCTGTATCTCAAAAACGAAGCACGTTAGGATACATGTTTATATGAACTTTATTTGCTAGAATATCACAATTAATCACCCCTTGAATTTTTTCGGTGTTATATAGAAACACCCTGTATAATTTTTCGAGCAAACAAAAATTATCAAACATAATTTCTTAGCCTAATGCGATCACAAAAACTCCAGCAAAATTAAAGAAAACGGATTAGGCATTTTTTTACAAAAATTTCGATGGAGGCAATCGTTTCTGAAATTTCTCTTCACTATCCTCCTCAGAGGTACTTCACCCGTGAGTTTCTTCATAACATTCTTTGGACTGGGTATTTTTTGAAAATTTAATCATCTTTGTTTCAGTAATTCAATGATAATCAACTCATATCTTGAATAGGTAAACATGATAAAATGGATTTACAATGTTTCTTCAGCCCCCTTGTGGGGCACATCGCTCGTGTGTTTTTCATAAAATCTTATGAAATGGATATTTTCGCAAGTCAATCACCACAGGTCAAGAACCTATCTGGGACATCACTGCACTCTGCACTGATGAGAGCCAACAGCTCGAAACCGGTCTGCAATGTATTTACCTACATTTGGCGAGCACTATGGAGAATATAACCCTCCAGGGGTAGCTGAAATCAACCCAAACATGTTTTTCCAAATGCAACCCTATGGCTTGCGACCTCTCAATGGAAAGATGGTTGGCAGAGGAATCCAGCGTACTGGTCATATTTCAGTTTTCAGTACGTTTGGGGGTCGCATAAAATCAAAATATAATGTCGAAGTTTGATATATTTTCAACGTATTTTCATGAAAATTTCGACTTTCAGTGACAGTGATGTAGGGCATTTCCACCAGTTTGGAATAACACTTCGTTTCGAACTGTGAATACGGCAAAAAAATAACGTTCTTTTTGCGGCTCTATAAAAACACTGGAATACAATAGCAGATAGCAGTTGTGGCAAAAAATTGCCATCAATTGTTGGACACACATTTTGAGCGATTGATACGTTTAAAAAAAATGAATTTTAAAGTTACATTTCAACTTTATGCAATTTTAAAAACGTATGAAAACTAAAATCTGATTAGTATCACAAGTCACAAGACATAGGGCTACATTCGAAATAATCATATTGAGGGTGATGGTTTCAGCTACTCCTGGAGGGATATATTTTCGATATTGCTTGCAAAAGGTTGGTAAATACATTGAATCGTTGACGTATGTCGGAAATTTTCAGAAAAAATATTCACCACCCCACTAACAAATTTATTCCAGTTGAAGTCTCCACATTGTATTCAAGTAGGAACTTGTATAGTGCCAAATATATGGTCAGCGTTGGCGTCTCAAGCTAATATGAACGGTTAGGTATTCTTCCCCGATTGGTTAGAAATGCCGAATACATTTTGGAAATTGTACAGAAAGCAATGTCAAGAAAAAATCTTATATTACAGAGTTTGTTTGTTTGTAAAATACAAAATAATAATTATTATTTCATTCATTCATTTCGATTTGCAATCTTCTAATTTTTGTTCCAGTTCACTCATTTCATCATCAGTTAAATTCTTGAGAGGTGATCTAGCTAACCCAACATTTACTGGGGACAGTATGTTCATAGCAACTTTCATTGCAGGAACCAAGGATCCTAAAATTGTTCAAAATGTCAATGTTTACAAACAATATTCTGCTCCCCATGTGAGTGTAATATCATCTTCAATCGCTGAATAAGAAATCATTAAACCATTTTCAGCACAATACAGAAAAAGTCTAGTACATTCCAGATAAACGTCCTGTTCCTTAGTGTACCTGATACACTTCTGAAGTTATCTCTGTTATCATGGTGCTATAGAGATAACCCCAGAAAAAACTAACATTAGCAGATTGAGCAACTGTAATAAATGTACTTGTAGATAGACGAATTCAATACCTTCCAATGAACCCGCAAAAACACACACAATTGAAGGTGAATATTTGGTGGTTAATCAATTTCTTAATGATTCATAGTTATCGGCCATTATTCGGCTTATTTGAAGGTATCAGTCAATGCAATAATTATATTCGTCGAGTCCATGTTATATTTTGATATATTTAATAGACAGTATTATTCGAATTCAACAATTCAGGTAGTAAATCTGCGAGTTCTGATGCCACGCATAGTCGAGCCGGGCTGCAACCAGTTGTCGATATCAACCATTCTGTGATATTATATCCGTGACTATACTTGAATATCTACATTGGCAACAGCGCATATGTTAACCTGAATGCTCAGGAAGCTTGTTTTATTTTAAAGGTTATGGCACAATTCTTCAGTTGAATAGTTGAAAACTGTAAGTGAGTTGGACAAGTATGGGTGTGAATTATTCGCGATTAGTACTACGTTGATTTGCCGTAGAAAATGATTTGCTGTTGGATGGCCTCGACGGTTGGGATAGTGGTACTGTAGAAGACGCCATTGAAATTGGTAAAACAGGGGCTACACTGATCTTGACCATTGATATATCCCTTTATTTGGTCATATAAAGGAAGCGAAGACAGCGAAGGAATTATGAAATAAGCTGGAAGACGCTTGGAAGTTGGTGGACATGGAACAGGAATCGGTAATGCAGGCAGAGCTTCTGCCAGTGATCATTTTGTTACAGAATATCCAATGTTGCCAAAAACGGCAGTCACACTGATTGTTTAGTCAAACGTCAAGAATGACAAACAATGCTATAAATGCACACAGCATGGTCATTTTTAAAACAAATGTAATTATTTGAGATAGGAAATAATACGTCGCCCCGCCTGACGACGACAACTTGAACAATTCTAAGCGGGTTATATTGTTCGATGTGACCAATAAGGGGTGGCGGAAATTTGATCGAAAGACAAATGATAGAAAAACATTTGATAGAAGTCTTTTGATCGAAAGTGTTTTTCATAGAAATGCATTTGATCGAATGTTTTATGATGGAAAATACATTTGATAGAAACATAAATGATAGAAAATACAATTGATAGGAAAAATATTTGATAGGAAATACACTCGATAGAAACAGCATTTGATAGAAAATTCAACGGGGCTACGCTCAAGTTAGGTCAGTACGTTTGTGAAGATATGATCCTTCTTCATATATTTGAGAAGGAGCTAGATGGAAATCGAAGCTTATGAATTTATTGATACCACAAACTTCTAGCTCCTTCTTCTCAAATATATGAGGAAGGACCATATCTTCACAAACGAACTGACCTAACTTGAGCGTAACCCCGTTGAATTTTCTATCAAATGCTGTTATTTTCTATCAAATATTTTTTCTATCAATTGTATTTTCTATCATTTATGTTTCTATCAAATGTATTTTCTATCATAAAACATTCGATCAAATGTATTTTCCGTGAAAAGTTCTTTCTATTTTCTGATTTTCGATCAAAAGACTTCTATCAAATGTTTTTCTATCATTTGTCTTTCGATCAAATTTCCGCCACCCGACCAATAAGAACAACCAAAATTAACTTAAATAGAGTGAACAGAACGATTTGACAGCTTTCAAAAACCCCAGCAGGTGGCGTACGCACGTTTCTATCGCGAAGAAAGATGAAAATCCCAAACATTGCACTGAATCCAATGCTTTTAGTGCAGTTTTCATAGCAGAAAATTTCAATAAAAATCAATGGTACAATGATTCGGGTGCGAGTTCACAATCAACGGTTAATGAAAGTTGATTTGAAAATGTATAGAAAGGATTTGCAAAAAATAATGGAAGCACATAGAATGAAACTTCCAGTATGTGCTCAGGAAATGTCAATATAGTAACAGTTGTGAAAAATGACACATAAGATTAGCATCGAAAATATCTTACCACTAATTTATTGAATACCGACGCCCGTAAGCACACTTTTTCCAACCGAGAATTGTGCCAATCCACCTGTTTTTTCAACATAAAATGGTATTTTTCTACGGCTATAACACAAAATTGCTATTGTTTTACTATGTTCGATAAATCAAGGAGGTATTTTGTATGTCACCAGTTTTATTTTCGTATCTGATATCACAATGACTTCATTGTGTTATCATTTCAAAAAATTCTCATCGACCATGAAATGTCAAATTTCAAGCAATGACAGCATTTACAGCTCTGTTCAATTCGTAGCAAAATTTCAAAGATCAAGATACCACAAAATCATATGAGAGAGTGATTCAGACTTTGTTCCTCCAGAAATAAATGCTACCGCAAATCAGGCATGTTTAAGTTTAATTCCAGAATTATCAAAGGAAAATTATGGAAAAGCCTACAAATCTTAGATTGGCGAAGGGAAAAGGGCACCACGTCAAATTCTTGCATACTTGCATAATTTAGTGAATTATCTAAGAAATCGAAACCCCTCAACTTTATGGGCACAATATTCCATGTTAAGGACCATGCTAAATATTAACAAAACTGTGGACATTGAAAATCATCCAAAACTTAAAGCATTAATTGAGAGAAAATCAGATGGTTACAAGCCGAAGAAATCAAAAACTTTCTCTAGAGGCAAAATCGATAAATTCATTAAAAACAAAATCATTGCTTTATTGCATGTCATATAAGGTGAGTTTATCGTTTTTGATAACTAATTATTCAACTCCCAGATATTCACAAAAAAAATATTTTGAAGTGGTAGTGGTGCCAGGTAGCCCAGCGGTATGATAGTCTCATGGTAGGTCGAATGTTCGATTCCCAGAGTACAGCAAATATTTTTTTTTTATTTTTGGTTTCAACTTTTTGATATTTTTTTCAGGTTCTGGGAATAATGGGTGCATCTAGAAGAGACGAACTTTACAAAATGAAAACAACAGATTGCAGAGACTTGGGTTCCGCTGTTCTTATACAAATACCCAATACAAAGACGAAGTGCCAAGAAAATTCACAATAGCCGGTGTATTTTATGATATTTATAAAAAATACAACGACCTACGCCCTGAACATGTTGAACAAAATTATTTCTTTGTAAATTATCAGAAAGGAAAATGTACAGAACAGAGAGTTGGTATTAATAAAATTGTTAATACCGGAACAAGAATTGCAAAGTACTTGAAAAATCGTCATCAACAATACGTATAGATGCTGGCGAAGACATCATCTCATTGAAGCGACATGGAGGTTGGAAATCTACCACAGTTATAGAAGGTTATATTGACTAGAGTCACTGGATGGTATTAGTTTGATAAGAGTTCGGGCACAGCTGAACTTTGGTCCTTTTCTATTTTCTATAATACAATGGTTTAAGTGAATAAAAGAATAAGACATATATTCTGCTCTTTGTCTTTTCAATTTCCCTAGTAGCGCTTGATTGTCAGATACGATTTTAGAGGTAATATTTTCTGTCAAATCAATCATAGCCGTAGATGGACAATGGATATAGGGTACAAACACCCACTTCAATTTATAGTGATACACTTCTAGCAGAACAACTGTTATATAAATGAAAAGAATGCATGTAACAACATTTTAATATTAGAAAATATACACATATGGATAAACTTATATTCCTCATTGTATGTGAAACTGTACTCCAATGATAAGTATAAAACATGAAGTTTTTAATATTAAATCAAAGGTAGATATTCTCAATATACAGGAAGTAACATAAGTACGTTCAAGTGAAGTATTCCTGAGGCAATTTCAAGAAATAAAGTCTGCGTAAGCTTGTGTCCGGAAATGCTTCATTTCGGAGATACAGAGTGTTGAAATACACCGAACAAATCATTTTTCGATAAACATTTCATAGGAAAAAAGTAGTTTATTTTGACAAAGCCTACAAAATACTTGGTTTTGTAAAGTTCTCAGCAACTTCACTTAGCGCCCTATAGGAGCTAAAAGTAACATATGGATCGATATAGAAAATATCTCCAAAACGATAACCTCCAGCGTAATTAAGGGCCTTATAATAATTCCCTTGATACATAAATAACTATCCACTTTTCACTGTTGAATTTTGAATTTGGTCGGTACCAAAAACGCCATTCAATAATATATCACGTAGTAGTTTACTTGCGTTTGTTTGTTTCGTTTTCAAATTTTCAATTTCATTATGTAATTTTGCGATCATTTCCTCTTTTTCCATGATTGTGATGATAATGATGGAATTTTCTACTTGAAATCGTCTGCTTTGTAAATCGATGGAACAGCAGATTCTCTCAAACAGATTTTGGAATCTCGTGTTTGCAAATGGGCCTGAAATATAGTTTCATTCTAATCAGATGCTGTTATGAGAAGTGAATTTTAATGAGTACCTCACAAATTTCGCTCGTCTTCAAATTGATTTTTCACCCAGGCCGTTTCATATCTTCCCTCCATAAGCGAATGGTTGATATTTGTTTTAGAAAATTGAATGAATGATATATCCATTTTTTTCAGCATTGGCACAATTTATTACACAGCAAGTGATTTCCATAGCTGCTTCTTTCTCGAAAGTATAAATATGAAATTTTATTTCAACTCTGACGTTTATAAAATGTATTGTCAAATTCAAACAATTTTGAATGAAAAAGCGCGGGACGACCATGGTGCTCTTGTCACAATGCAAATTGTGTAACTTAATAAATCTAAACATTCAAAAACCCTAACCGTTGTCATTTCTGTGTCCGAACTCTTATCAAACTAATACTAACTAATACCATCCAGTGACTCTAATATTGACGAGTCCATAAAAAACAAATTTGATATCGAAAATAAACCTGCCATCTACTTCAAGATCAAATATTTTGGAAAACAAGGAAAATACGAATATGTCATTGAAGCGTCCGGATTCTTCAAACATTACTTATAAAAGACAAGGTTTGCATGATTATTTGCATTTTTTTACTTGTTATATCTTATTATAATTTCATAATTGTATGTATAACATTATGTATATTGCTTATGTATCCCTATTATAAACAACTATGTTTCTTGGGGTAATAAAGACAATCAATCAATCAATATTGTGAATAATTGAGTATTTGTTTCAAAACTTTTTAAAAGAATAAAAGTTTCAGTATCAGTTTTTCAATGTGTAACTGATATTTTAATTGTATCTAGATGGAAATTTTGAATAATAATAAATTTGAAGTTCATGTTATTTCGTTGCTAAATCATTTCGCTACTATCTGTTACAGCCGTAGAAAAACTGTATAACTCGCAAGGAATGCTAATTTCCCACTCGAATGATTTGCAGCATTCGCCCATATCTCATGCTGCAAACTTCATTCTCGTTTTAATTCCGTGCTCGTTAAACAATATAACCATTGCTAGAGTTGCAGCGATGTAGATAAGCAGTAATCTTAGAAGTTATTATCTTTGTTGGCAGCTATCTTCACTTTGGTTCATTAACTTGAAAAAGGTTCAACTGACTGCCAATTATTGAAACAAATGAACAAACAGTAGTTCTTCAACACTATCAGAAACAGATATGGACTGACTGAATATACAAGAATAATACTCAAACAATTTTCAATCCACAACATGTTTTAATATAGCTGTCAATTTGCCAACGACACAACACTGATGATAATAGTCATGATAAAAATAATTGACAAAATACTCACCAAATTTGTTTATCACAGAGCATCTTGTTAAAAGTTCTTCCTGAATTTTACGAGCCTCGCTTATTTTCGATTTTTTGATAGCATGTGATATATCCATGATGTATTGAGGAAACATGTTTAGAGATGGCAGGATAGCAGAATCAAATCCCATCAAAAATGCACCCGTCAAAAGCTAAAATCAACACCTAGGTGATAAGATTTTTGTACAAACAAATTTAATAAGGTTGGGGTTACTTTTTCTTCTCCAAAAAATACTACATATTTTTTCTCTCTAGCTTCCAGAGCTGCTACACCTCCTTCCAAATCATTAGACGTGTAGACGAGGCCACAGAAATTTGGTATTTTTTCAGACACTTCGTCCAGCACTTGGGCCATATTGACTGAAACAAAACATAGGTACATTATGTTTACAATAATGGAAGAAGTAAAGTAAATTAGGTGACATATGATTAAAAAAATAGTTTGAGGGTCAGGCATCTTACAAAAATCTCTTTGCTACAAACGTCAAAAAATGGCAAGGTTCGCGCATTGATAAATTGCGAAGTGACACTTTTTTTCAGTTTCCAACGTTACCATGATACCTTGCATGATACTTCGCGCATTGTTATGTAAAATATGAGATATTTATAATTCAACTTTATGGTCCTTGAAAAGGAATATTCTCAGATATAATTATGAACATAAAAAAATTGATATATTTATATGTTCATAATTATATCTGAGAATATTCTTTTTCAATACTTTCACCCAATCAAGGGGTTCAAACTTGAACGATGAAAACTTGTTATTTTTATAGACCTCGCATCACAGATTCGTGATTTGGTTTTCTCAATTCAGAATTTGTTTCCACGTCCTGTATGATGAAAGTCAATTTATCATACATAAAAAAAATTATGGTCCTCCACTTGAAGTGAATGTGATGTGATTCTTTCACTTTGCCCTTGTAAAATATGAACCCGACCCTTAACTGATAAATTTATGACATAATAAATCTATAACATGATTTTATTTCATTTTACAGTGACAGTAAGTTTTTTCATTTTTTTTCACTTCGCTCCTGTTATTAACTTAACTTTTTGTATGTCTACTTCTTTCATTTCCATGTAGGTAAGTACTAAGTAATTCTTGCATCTATATCCTAAGTCAATACCGATTTTTCTAGAACTACGATTCTTTCTATTGGCTGATGATGGGCTTATATGAGCCCGAAACATGTGACGATTGATCTTCGCTCATTCTAATAAATATTGTGGAGATGACTTTGGGTTTTCATCTATGAAAAATATCTTTGTCGATATACAAATTGTTTTGCAATTTATCACACCACTGGAATTTTGTAAGGTAGTAGAGAAACATATTCGGTTGAATGTTGAATAAGGAAATAGTAATATGATTGAATTAGTAACGATTGTCGTATTTTGTGGGCAAGTGAAGATATCTTGTCATTAGTCAAAATGTCATCATGAGACTTTGAGATATGAAAGTAAATGAATAATGGAACCAAATGTGAGAGCCGCTTTACACCTTTCAATCTTAAATTGCATGGAATTGATTACTGCAATTCGTATTGCAGGCTATTTTACAACGGAAGGATTGGCTTGCAATTTCTTTTCGTCAAAAAATCTGTATATTGCTCCTTATCAAGTTTTGACTTGGGTACAAAAGCCATGAGAACAGTAACATTCAATTAGCATCTAATGATGCTTAAATAATGCATGAAATACCGAAAATCCACCATTTCATCACTAAAATTGCACAAGCAGAACGAATTGCCGCTGTCCATATTAGATTCAATAACGTAACGTAACGCAAGTACTTTCGTTACAAGATATGGGATAGAACATAGGATTTTTCCAGTACTGTTTATCGAATGTTGTTCCGCAAAACACTGATCGTTAAGAAGGGAGGTTGGGTTTATTATTTATTGTTTGATTTACATTAGGTATTGATAAATGATATTATTTAATTGTTCTACATACAATATTGATTACGGATTTCTGAAAAGCCTCATCGAGAATATTATTCCATTTCATATTCTAGTTGGAGGCAGGAGATTGCACGGATATTTTACGGATTATGAATATATCTGGTAACTTTAATTTATTCATTCATTGATGATGAAGTACTCAATTGATGCTAACTGTTCTTCTGGGGAGATCATGTCTAATACCTATTTATTGCTTTTTGATGTATGGTAGTTATTAAAGCTAATACTCACTATTGACTCCGGTATAGGCAGGAATGTGATGATAGAGAACAGGTGTTTTAGGGGCAGCTTCACACACAATCGTCAGATAATCTATCAGTTGTTTAGAATTAGATGGCTTGAAAAACATTTCTGGCAGGCAAAGTAACGAATCTACCCCGTTGTTTTCGGCATGTTCTGTCAGTTCCAACACATCAGGTAGCGGGCATCCACCAATTTGAACCATCAAGTGCTGGTCGGTTGCTTTGACGGCCTTAGCCCATCGTTCCGTTACCAATTTTCTCTCAGAAACTGACATTGACATTCCTTCTCCCATAGCGTCATTGACTGAAACCAATGATTCTATAATGTTTCACTCCTAGATAGTACCTAGAGAGAGTGGAGATGACGACAACATAAGAGTGAGGCGCAAGGCGCAACGAAATCAGCTGATGGTTGAATACAGATTTCGCTACCACTCTGCATTTTATTTACATTTGATTTGTAAGTTCAGTGTGGAGTTATATACTTAAAGGATTGGTTACCGGAGGTCACCAATCCATAAGTTAGTGTTAGTGTAAAAACACTACCTACGTTTAACGTTTTAATTTCACAAAGTATAATTAATTTGACAAATTAATTGACATGATTACATGATATCGTAACCAAAACGGCACCAAAATGAGAGATACTTTCCGCCTCTACGAGGACAGAAACTGAAAGTTTCGTGAATAATGATTTAGGGAGAATGATCAATGGTGAATTTCAACTCTGATTTCTTGGTAATTTAGATACCCTAACTAAAGCGTAAATTATAGCGATTGCCTAGAAGTATGAATACTGTCTGTAGATGAATCGAGTACGATGAGATAAAGTAGTTCAATGTAGACAAGAAAATGTATTAGACCTACTTATGAGAAGATAATTTCGGGCTATCCTTTTCACCGCAAACACTACCTCAATTTTTGCCAGACAGAAAATCCAGTATGGAATAAGAATGAGCAGAAACACAAATACCAACAAATTATAATGTTCAAAGAAAACCGCTAACAACTTGAAATTCACGAAAACACTCATTACTAATAATCAATGAACAATAATGAATACAATGAACAAAACATCTCATGGTAACCATACAAAATTACTATAAAACCGCAAGCCTTCAAACTCAAATTTAAACGAAAGTGCTTGTATCTCGTTCGAAATTAAAAAGTTGCAGCCATTTTGAAATGAAGTAATAAATAATAAAGTTGACGCTACGTCCCCTCAGTGACGTGATAAATAGACAATCACCAAATGAAGACGACACAATTTCGAATCGATTTGTCGAGCCTAGAGAACGAGGGAGGTATCAACCAATAAAAAAAGGCAACGACCCAGCCAACCATCATGCGACATCAACATCAGTGTGATGTAACAACCTTACATAAATGCAATACCTCGTTGACAAATCTAATCTACGTATAGATTCGGTATCAGTCACAAGGTTACATCACAACCAGGAGAATATGTAATGTGGCGGAAACATTCTTCTAATCGACGTTAACGGAATAATTCACATCGATATCCAAATAAGACATCTTTGCGACCTCTGAGTGTGACGCAGACATGCGCAGAACGAACACACACGTTAGAAGCCATGTTTTAAGCTGTGACCATGTCATGTGTATCAAGCCCTTGTTTGTTGATTCTTTGATTTCGTCGTGCGACAGTCCGAGTCCGACAATCTGAGAAACTTTTATCAGCTTCAAATTGATGGTGAGTATAATCACAATATTGTAATTATTTCATATCAATTATAGTCAAAGGTTATATAACCTGACACCTCTGTCCTCTGAGATAGGAATATCTCAATCTCAAGCAAGGTGGATAAAACATCCCAAGGTAATCTAGTGTACCAATATGATATGTATCATTATGTATAATGTATATTTGTATTGCTATGTGTAGTGTTTTACTTCAATAAGATTACTAATAAAGATGATTGTCATAATAAGTTTTGTATTTATCATATGTTTTTACTTGAATAATTATAATTATCTATCCCACGAATATCACAGGTACGGAACACTAATCAATGTCGCAGTGTGACGTATTTGTAATATAAAATGTACACTTGTATGTGACCTGGTAGTGACATTTCATGTCTGTACGACGTCACAGTGATGTTCCTTGAGTTGGACATTTTCACATCGCCACGTTGTATCGGTTACATATTTGTGACTTCAAATGCGATATCGCATGTCACAAAGTGATGTCTCGTATACATCATTTATACATCTCATGGTTGGCTGGGGAACAGGAATCATCTAATTGTGGGCAAATGCCATACCAACATACATTCAGCCATATTGATGGTTCTTTCTCTCTCCTGTGCTGATTTCCATGTTCTGTAAAGGGCGGTAAAGCAATGGCGTATCTACATAGTAGTTTACATATCATTATTAGATCTTCTACTGTAATGCACTAACATTATGATACAGATTATAAAACTTCACAAACGATTCAAATGAGAGAACCTTCATTGGTTGAAGATCATTTTTATTTATCATAAGTATGAAGAAATTCTTACCTGAGTACGTAACCATTTTCACAAAAATATAATTATCCAGATGAGTTTTCCTCATTGGCTCAAATGTTAATATATTTTTCCAACAAAGCTTACCTAAAACTCCTTGGATCCCATTGAATAATAAATATTCTGCATATTTGTCGATCAGGTCGTTCGGAGACCTACATAAATCATCAAATTAACTCTTATTGAAGGTATCGTATAACCAAGTAAAACCACAGAACTCATAATCATTAAGTATATCTTACGACTAGAACGCGCGATCCTATGGTTTCATGTCAAATATCTGAACAAAACATGGGCATTGAAACATTGGTCAAATTATACTAATCTCAGACTTACGATGTGGATGTATGGTAATACAGGAGAGAAGAGAAACTACTGAGACGTAGGTAGGTCATGCATTTTCATCGGTTTGTTCACCAACAACGAAATGTTGCCAGTTTCATTCACAGAAGTTTTAATAGCTGCCCCTTGTGACTACTTGTCATTGAATTAAGTTCCAAGTCAAGAAGAAAATGTATTAGATCTTTGGTAATATTAATATCATGTTTGATTATTTTGATGAAGTGATCTGTTCAAGACAGCTTAACTCCTTGTTGAACATGAGGGCGAAGGAAAAAGTTCCATAAGTATCTATCTCTGTACTTCTGATGTCTATCGGTACCTATCATATAATCCATTTACATTTCACCACGAATTTACACGCCGCTACTGATTACGGTTCACTTACAGAGTGATTTGTTCGTCCACCATATTGGATACTCATTATAGTCATAAGATATAAAGATTACGAGTTCTGTGAGTGGTCTAACAGCAAGGTTCACAAAATTATACTATAAAACATATTCTTCAGACTTGTGTCGTATTGAGATGTGGCATTCAATTGTTCAGGCTGAATGCAAGGTAATTCCACACAATTTTAAACAAGTAAACCTTCAAGAACTAGAAAAGTATTCTATTCCTATTCAATATCACAAAAATAATTTCAAATATATTTTTCACTACCTACTAGCACTATTAATTATCTTGTTTACAACATGAGATATCAATTTTTGACACCTCCGGCAATGAAACATTGGCCGTTTCTACTAGTAACCATCTAATTGGAAATCTATGCAGTTTTAAAAACGAAGCAATCATATCTAAATAGTTTCTTATCAATAGAAGGGTCTATAACAAAAAATGAGAGTCCTGTATCATATTACTATGCAACCAAGATACACTCGTATCTCTTCTGGTTTGTGAAAAAGGGATGCCGCTTCCAAAGCGGTCACGTAGCACTAAATCATTCTACTGCTAAATTCACCAATTCGGTCCATCAACACCAGTGGTTGAAAATTTGGTATAGGTCAATTCACCTGGTGAACAACCTGATTAGGCATATCTCAGGAGGAAGATATTGGGATGATTACTGATTGGAGTAGAGTTGAGTAGAATTAGTTACCTTTCTTTTTGATGTGAATTAAAAATTGAAACTAACCTCGAACATTCAAACATAAGTGTCAAACTCACAGAGCAATTAGCTTTTTCTGATGCTAATTTCAGTCAAGAAGTGATTCACCATCAATCCATTCACCAATAACGTCACTATGGTGGAGATGCACCATATTCGTCAAACGACTAAGAGAATATGAGCGAATTACCATTACATTTTACCAATGAGTGTGACAAAAAAAATCATCTTCGCCGGACATGGAAACTGATGTTATCATTCGAAAATTTGTCTCCAGGCAGATCAGAGAAAGAATAGAGCTGAAATGTACGAATGCAGGATATTCAGTGGAAACAGTAAAGTTGCTACAAAAGCACTTAAATGCAATCAGTCTAGTACCATATAGGTGCCCATCAAAAAAGTGGAAGATGTCAATGAAAAAGCACAAAAGCTAGCAAGGAAAGAGTATGACGGTGTATCCACTGGCCTAGAGCCAGTACTGAAATAATAAAGGCCACGATACGTGGATTATAGCTGAATAGATCAAATGAAAACTCACACATCGGCAAGGTATGGATATTACCCACTATGCATAGTATTATTTGATAAGGAAACAGACTCCTAGCTCGCCAGCAACAAAATATCCGGACATTTATTCTAGGAACAAAATACCATGCTTAAGCCGCCAGAGACATCCTCCCTGTAGAAACATTCATCCCTGTTTGAGCTCATATTTTCAAGATGTTTCAATAATTCAATTAAAAATCGATAAACTATACATCCATAGCTCAACTCGATCTGCAGGCGTATGCTTTCTTCAGCGCATAAAGGGAACTGCATACTTATTGTATTCAATGTTTCATTTGAGTGGAAATATCTAGATGAATACTTTATGGGACTTAGTTATTGCTTACACCTAATTAAATTTCGAAAATACTTACTTCTCCTCGAAAACGGTGAATACTGGTGCACAAAACCCTCGAAAAGAAAACTCAACCTGAAATTACAAATCTCTTTTGAATCCGTCGATTTCAGATACCATTTCGAAACTAATTCATATTATCTTCGTTCGGTATGTAAAAATTACTTTCACATATTTCAATCTGTATGTATCAGTCCTATCTTATTGTTTCATTGTTTTTTCTTTCTTCTTTATTCAATTTGTACTGCTTTCTGATGATTTTATTGATGTGAGACAAACTAAATATCTGGTTACACGTTCATTTTTGGAAAAATCGCTCGTACACGTTATTTGATTTATTAAGGAAGAGGAGGATGTATTCATTGATAATTATGATCACTTACTCTCGTTTCAGGGTTTATAGCCTCATCTGGTTCAATAAAAACCTCTATAAGTTCAGATGCCTGTAACATACAAATAATTTAGGTGCTTTTGCAATATTATATACAAACAGAGGTGTAATGTTTATTGAAAGGCAAATGAGGAAAAAATATGTGAAATTAGGCTCTATTGGTTAAATACAGAAGGATCATTTTCAATTCACTTCAAATGAAGGCTAACATTTTCACTCTCCCTAGTTAGCGCTACTGAAACATGAGTAATGAAATCAATGTCAAAGTCAAAAATCCCAAAATTTTGCAGGATAGCCCTAAAGGCTGTGCCTTGTTTTATCGAAAATATTCGAAAAATATGGAGAATATTTGAACAAATAGAAAACCTCAAGTTTACTGAAATACTTGAGCCATATCTTACGTTTTTTTTTACTCTCTTTTACGACCAATTCTTACATTGACGGAGAAGAAGATATAGCAAAAAGCCAAATGACACGAAAAGAAGAAGTATATTTATCATTTTTGGATGTATGATAAATTGATATTCATCATACAGGACGTGGAAAGAAATTCTGAATTTAGAAAACCTAATCACGTGATAAGGTTTCTCAATTCTAAATTTCTTTCCACGTCCTGTATGATGAATATCAATTTATCATACATCCAAAAACAAATGCCCGATGACAGTGGTTATGTCAACAAATTATAACTCTCAGATTTCAGTTCGTTATAGTTTTAGTTATATTATAGGGAGATGAAAATTGTGTGTATCATGAATGGAGAATGGCTGAAAGAATGACTGGACTTCAGGTTACTGATGAGGATATGATATCCGATATGAGTTTTACTGGAGGTAATTCATATAACCTGTTTGTGGGAGATATAATTCCCATATCACTGATATGAATGATTTTTTTGGAAGTTCCAAGCTCATCAAGATCAGAATTCATACAAGTATACTTCTCCTATACATTTCAATTTTCATTTCAATACTGAACATATTGGTAAGTTATATTTTTAAATCATAATACATCAAATTATTCTATTCGATTTTTTTTTTTTTAGAACTTTAACCTATTTCGGACCATCAACTGAGAAATTAGCTTCATTTCTACATAAACAGGACTTAAAAGTGGCATATAGAACAAATAACACGTTGGGACGGTTTATCAAGAATAATAGACGAAACTTCTAAATTCGAAAAATCAGGGGTATACAAACTCAAATGTGGATCTTGTCCTAAGGTATATATCGGTCAGACAGGTCGTACGTTTAATCAGCGCATTCATGAACATAAGATGAATTTTATGAAAAAGAAAACAAATTCAACATACGCCAACCATATATTAGAAGAAAACCATAGTTTTGATGATAATTTCGAGATTCTGCATGTAGAAAATAAAGGACTGAAACTCAATCATTTTGAATCATTAGAAATCAACAAACTCAAAAATTTTGACATTTTACTTAATGATCAATTAGACCTTAATAGCTCACCACTGTTGAATTTGTTTTCTTAGTAAGTAATAATATGTATTTGATATCAACTCTTTCTAGTTAATCCGGTATACCGTAATTTAATGTAGATATTGTGCCTAATTTCCGAAAATGGAGGTTTATCGTACCTGTCCACAGGTAACTAATCCTTCAGGTTGGGAAGGTAAGATATATAAAAGTTAAGCAAGCCAACGTTAGTTTAGTTCATTGTACCAGTATATCACCTGACGAAGCTTCTGTGTTAGCGAAACATTTTGGAAATCTTATCGTTTGTGAAGTTTTTACATTTATTCGATTTTAGAGATGATGTCAATTCTCAATTTCAGAGGATTTTGATTTTTCATGCTCTCATTTTAGATATTCAACAGATATAAGTCAATGTTCGACGTGGCAATATTCAGAATAATATTATATGCACATTTTTATATGAAGCAGAATGCAAATAATGTACTTCAGAATATTTTGTTTTCAAATTCTTATCGTGTGTGTTCAATAGATGTAATTCAATATTCGTAGTGACATATAGCCAGGAAAGTAGTTGTTTTCTGTTGAATAAACCGAGAAAGAATTAATATTTTCATCACATGGAGAATGCGATTTCTCAATGAATTACTTTATATATATATCCATTTTTTTGTGTCCATAAATATATCTGAGATTATTCCTTTTCAATATATTTATCAGTTCTACCAACCATGACGTCATGTTTCGGTGGCACGGTTTGGTGGTCAATAAATAATGTTAGCCCTCATTAAAATATCAGACTAATGTAAACATTTCAAAATTAAAAATAACAACTTTTGGTAAGCACCATCAGTTTATTTTAGATAAAAAATGTCCATGGTACAAAGGCCAGTGGAATGAAGCAATTCACCTATCAAGGAAGAAATACCATCTTTTTTGACTTATTTTTGACAAGGAATATTGAGAGCTCATTAAACCGAGTGACCATGAGACATAATTAATGAATGCAAGCAGATTCTAGGTGCTACTTTACCTGAACATCGTCGGAACTAAGGCTATCATCTTCACTTTTAATCTCCAATTTCAAACTACTAACTTGTTTCTCATTAGAAAGTTTTTTCCTTTTGGTTTTAGGTATTTCCTCTATCTGAAAAAAAAATCAAATTTCATGAGTCAATGAGAATAAACAAATTTAGTTATTACAATGAGGGCTTCAAGTATTAGGCCAAGTCGCAGAATTGAAGTGCAGTTACATTGGAAAATGAAAAGATATGAAATAGGATATGAACGAATTTCAATAATCTGATGATTTCCATAATTCATGACAATCATTCAATTCACTGAAAGACGTGAATCTGATCGACATGAAACTAGAGCACGTTTTCTTCCTGGGAATGTTAGAATTTAATATTTAATTCTTCACTTCTGTTAGCATCTAGCAACTAGATGCGCCACTGCTCAGTGGAATGTGCTTAGATCAGAGCCTATGACAGACGTGTGTAAATACTGGTTCATATAGTATTCGGCTGATGGAAGCCGGGTTGTGATCAAGTGTAACCCTTGTCCATGTCATTTGTGCTCGTGTTTATTAAATTGTGATCATAATATAACATCAGAAGTGGTTGAATTCATGCCCCGGTGAAGTGACAAAATGCAATTATTTTTCCGGCGATTTTCACTGCGAAACAGATAGCTGTGGTTGAGGTATTTAGGTATTTATGCGTGATGCATTCCCGGCGTTATGCCGTTATGTGATGTTTTATTGAACTGTAAGTACATGACTTCTTTAAAATAAGCAATACCAATGTACCAACAGTACGAAGGTCCAGTAATAGAGAATTTCGTGTTCGATCCTGAAATCCAGTATTTTTTTTTTTTGCTACTTGTTTGTCTCGAAAACTCTGATAACGTTGACATTCCGATCAAATATCAGATGCTTATTGGTATTGGAATGTACTGAACGTTTGTTGTTACCGTTTTCGATTGTACTGGCGATTACACGATATATATTTTGGAATTTCGTTCGATGAATTTGCAATTTCAGTTTGTGATGATAGTTATGATGTATGTAACATGATTTTTGAATGAATATCTCTGGATATTCGAGAATGCAGGTAATGTTCGTTGTTCATGATTCATTCGTGCCCGATTTGTGTTTCATTTCAACAAAAGGTGAACAGTAGATTGGATATTGTGAGATTTGAAGAAGTTTGGAGGAGATTTGTAATGATCCTCAAAATTTGCAATATTTACGTGAGATTTGCATGATTCATCAACAAATGAGAGATTTCTGGTGATTTTCAATATACATGAGACTGTCAAAGATTTCCAAGGTTCATCAAAATTGCACGGATAGATGGGACGAATCTGAAATTTTAACAATATCGAATTCAAAGAATAAGTCAGATCTCACGTAAGCTACAACTCCATCATTTTGATTCAATTTGCCCATATTATATATAATGTTGTAACCTTTTATATCGTACATTTTTGGATCAGGGATCTCCCATGTTTCAGTAAGAATAATACAGTCCAGATCAGTTGCCAAATTAATCAAAAATATTTTGAATTCATCATGATTTTTATTGATACTTCTGATATTATTATGAAGAATGTTGGCGTTATCGTTGTGCGAATACCATATAAGAAGTGGGTTTACACCTGGGCCGTATGGCAAGGTGGGTTTACACCTGGGCCGTATGGCAAGGTGGGTTTACACCTGGGCCGTATGGCAAGGTGGGTTTACACCTGGGCCGTATGGCAAGGTGGGTTTACACCTGGGCCGTATGGCAAGGTGGGTTTACACCTGGGCCGTATGGCAAGGTGGGTTTACACCTGGGCCGTATGGCAAGGTGGGTTTACACCTGGGCCGTATGGCAAGGTGGGTTTACACCTGGGCCGTATGGCAAGGTGGGTTTACACCTGGGCCGTATGGCAAGGTGGGTTTACACCTGGGCCGTATGGCAAGGTGGGTTTACACCTGGGCCGTATGGCAAGGTGGGTTTACACCTGGGCCGTATGGCAAGGTGGGTTTACACCTGGGCCGTATGGCAAGGTGGGTTTACACCTGGGCCGTATGGCAAGGTGTGTTGAGAAAAAAAGGGTTCCACAGTCAGAGCGGAAAATATATAGGGTGGTATGATGATGAGTTGTTACAATATGTTTATGCGCTATCAACTAAGATTTTTGGCTGGTATTGACAATCGGTGTTAAATGTGATGACTGCATCGACGCTTGATATTATATCATGCCAAAAAAAAAAAACATACTGAATAAATATGAAGGTTAAGGTGTTTGGCCATGTATGCTGCAAATATAGAAAGTGTTATACCGAGGTATTGTATGTAGTTTGTATTTATAGCATTAAGGAAAGTTTGATACACAATAGAAAAATTTAAAAATAATTGTATATCAAGACAGTAAACAGGAAAATTCCAGATAGGCATTTTGATGTACAAACGATAAGAATTCAACTGTTGGAATTCAGAATAATAATAATAATAATGATAATAACAGTAATAATAATAATGATGCAGAAGGCCGTCACACTTGGATCATTGCGTCTACTCAGGGCACACGGTAATTGGTCCCAGTGATTACTCACCTCACAGGCTGTGAGGAGTAGTCACTGGATTTTATCCAGCACGACTCTGCGTGACGTCGGAGGCCGCAGGGTCGTGACTGGAATCATATAAACTCAAATGATAATAATAACAAAAATTGAAAAGGAAAACGTTTCAGTTTGAGCTTTCTGGTTTTTGATAACCTGGACTTTTTGGCTGAAGGAATTACATCTATCATGGTTAGGTTGATATGAATTTGTGGAATGAATTGTTGTGATTTATGATTGAGTATACTATCAAGGTGAAGTTGAGGCTAAAATTGATTGGAGAGATGTTTGGCTAGCAATCCTCTGGAGTCAAGTACGTTGTCGTGTCGTTCGACCTCGTATTTGCAGACCTGATTGTGAACCAAGCCTCTGAGCTGCCATATATAACTTTTCTTTTGGATACACGTTTGACTCACAAACCTTTGAACTGTCGAATACTTCGCTCACAAATTTGAAATCAAATATCAAAAAATCATGAGCTGCTACTACTTAAAGTCTGTTGAGCGACGAGAGTCGAAAGAGTGCCGGTGTCCCACATATCATGATGTTTACACAATATTTTTTTTCAGTGCATATAGATATTTATATATATATATTTACTGACACTCAATTTCTCGTTTGGATCTAGGTCTACCTCGAGTTCTATACTATATACCTATTGCTCCACAATTTGAAAATTATCATATGATATGGTTCATGAATCGACTATAAAATGTTAGTCCGATGCTTCATCCTCACGGAATCTTGGAGAATAATATATCTACACTTTTTATTTTCATCCTCTTCTTCTCCCGAACTTTAAGGGGTTATTTCATCATCAGCGACATCAGCTTCGGCATTCTATGGACAAACGAGTTTTGGTGGAGGTTTGTTCGACGTGTCTTGGGTTTGACGATAGAGGGGTGCACTGAGTGGGCTTGTCGTATCTTGTCTGCTGGTAATGAAACGATAACAGAGATTTCTGAGATAGCAGAGAGTTATCAAGCCATGTAGGTAATCCAAGGTGGATTGACACTTAGGCCTAGTGGCAAGGTGAGTTGACACCTAGGCCTGGTGACAAGCTGGGTCGACATCTCGACCTGGTAAAAGTGGGTTGACACTTAGGCCTAGTGGCAAGGTGAGTTGATACCTAGGCCTGGTGACAAGGTGGGTCGACATCTCGACCTGGTAAAAGTGGGTTGACACCTAGGCCTAATGGCAAGGTGGAATAGCAATTGTGCTCTCTGACGAGCTCTAAATGACATAAAATTTAGTCAGGATGAAACCGAGCTTGTTGGGCCGAGAGCGTCCCAATCTCAGGATGGCCGTGTTAGCATCTAGCAACTAGATGCGCCACTGCTCAGTGGAATGTGCTTAGATCAGAGCCTATGACAGACGTGTGTAAATACTGGTTCATATAGTATTCGGCTGATGGAAGCCGGGTTGTGATCAAGTGTAACCCTTGTCCATGTCATTTGTGCTCGTGTTTATTAAATTGTGATCATAATATAACAACTTCTCTTCACTCTGTTTAAAACGCCTTTGAATAAAGTTTTCAAAATATTTCGTCTTAATAGGAGATATTGAGCATTAAGAGACATCAAAGCATTTCAGAAATATACCAAGAAATGAAAAAATATTGATAAATTAAATATGGCACCGCGTTCAAAATCTTACCTGAAACCAGTTTACACCAAACTTTATTGATATCTTATCTCATTCATTAATTTACGATTTCATATTCATAATACTTATACATACAGTGTGTTACAATTTGCTCCACCCCACCCATGTACTTTCGTTTTCCTAGGACGATCCAAGAATTTTTTTTCTCATAATACACTACTCAAAATTATCTTCTTTGTCAAGCAAAAAAAAATATTAAACACAATTTCTTGGCTTACTGCGATCACAAAGACTACAACAAAATTGAAGAAAACGGATTAGAAATTTAAAAAAAAAAATTTGATAATTACAATCGATTTGGGCTAGTCACAAATACTCCAACATCAAATTTCAGAACAATATCTCATAAGGGGTGTTTTTTATTTTTGGATAATTGCATTTTTCAAGTCACCGTGTATAATAATTGTTATAAGTAGTCAGGATTCGTCATCTCTCTATAGAGTAAGATAAATATCGAATGAAATCATTAGAAATTTAAAGTTTCTATCAAGAAATGGAAAGAAGAAGGAAACAATTTGAAATACCCATAAAAAATATCATAAAAATTAGAAAAAACAAACTAAAACAGCAATCATTCCTAACAAGTTCAGATTTTTGTATTCGCGATGAAATCTCCTTCATTCTCTGTACACTTTTCATATCTCTTTCGCACGTTATTTCCAACTCTCCTCAGTTCTTCTGATGGTATCCCTCTGCTAACTGTTATTATTCTCTGTGGCAACTATCCTCTATTTCTTGGCCTGAATTTCTCACTCTGTAGCCAGATAATCTAATCCTGACTACCATCACGACTGGTTTATTAATATTCTTGAAAGAATTATTATACTCGGTGACTTGAAAAATCCAATTACTCAAAATTTGTAACGTTGATAAAAAACACCGCCCATGAGATATTGTTTTGAAAATTGATATGGAAGTATTTGTGGCTAGTGCGAATCGATTATCAACATTTTCGAAAAAAATGCCTAATCCATTTTCTTCAGTTTTGCTGGAGCTTTTGTGATCGCAGTAGACTAAGAAATGCAGCTACAAAGTCAGTTGGGGGCCAGGTAGCCTCGTGGTAGAAGTGTCAGTATTCTAATCCGCGAATTTTCCTAGTGGCATAAGAAAGTGTTTGGGATCACACGTTAAAAGGTAGGATAGGAGAATTTTAAAACATTTTTTTAGCTGAATTGACAAACTAGTAGTATTTTTTCCGCTGATTACGATGATGGAAACGAAACAAAAATCTAACATCGCGTTTACGAGTCATGCCAAAAAGTTCAATTTCTTCAAATGGGATACCCATTGTACAATATTCTTGATAGATAGGAAATCTTTTATCCTTGATTCAGATATGACTCAGCCATCGATTTTTAGAATTTGTCAAAGTGATTGTGATAGTCGTGCCTTTTACCATAAATTAAAAAAAAATCGTCGATAGCTTGGTGATTTTTGAATCAAGGATGAACGTTAATAATAATAATAATAAACGTTTGTTTCGTCGACCTCTACAAAAAATCACATTTCACGTTCTAATTCCTGAACGAAAAACCGACTATTTCCGAAGGCAAGTACTTTTCGTCCGCAGACACTACTCAAATTCAAAATATGGAATCATGCATTGGGCGAATTCTGCAGAAGCTCATTGGGCCTTCACCTTACAAAAAAGGGCAGTCCGTATCTTGGGAAATCTGAGAGCAAGAGATTCATGCAGGGAATATTTTAAAAAACTGAGTATCTTCACAATGATTTCCCTTTACATTTATGAAGTAACCTGTTTTGTATTTAATCATAAACGTTATTTTGAGACTGAAAAAGTCGAACATAATTACAATACAAGGAACAAAGATTATCTGTTGCCTCCTCAACACTCATCTGCTCGGTATCAGAAAAGTTTATATTACAATGGATGTAAATTATACAATTGCCTGCCAAAATCTATACAAGAATCAAAAAATAAATTCCAATTCAAGAATAAAATGAAAAACTGGCTCCTGAAAAAATCTTATTACACCTTGGATGAATTCTTCTGTGATCCAATCATCGCTGACTGATGAATAATGTTTTTTGAGTAGACGTTCACATACTTTTTATGTTTATGTACCTGTGAAATCTTGTATATTATTATGTTTGTTTTATACCTACGATATTTATTTATGTACTTTAGCCTAATTTTGACGTTTTTTTTTCTTAAACTGTATGTTTTTGAAACAAATAAATCTATCTATCTATCTAACTTTTCGTTCGCTGCTGGGTTACCAGTTCTACTGAATTTTCAGTAGACCTGCTGATTTGCATATTGATCTAATGATCTACTAAAATATTTCATAATCTACTGAGAAATATTTTGACACTTATTTATTATTATAATTACCTATATCATTATTAATCTTAAGTTACTCACATACACTTATAAATTGCCTGATATTTCGGCACACTCTGTTTAAATTAATCTTACAAAATAAGTACATATAAGTACTAATGATAAGGACAAAACAAAAAAGGACAATACTTCATGCAATTCAGATCAAATTCAATTTTTATATACCTCTGTTACCTATAACAGTTTGTTTATTTCAATTTTTTTATTTGTTTTATATTTTTGTTGTTCATTTTCACTATTCTTTCATGTTTTTTATATACTCAAATCTTATAAGTACCTATGTAACTGTATTTTGTGATATTTGTGAGTATTTTTGAATTGAAAATTAGGAATATGATTATTTTCTTATGAGAATGTTTGTTTTGTTTGTTTCTATTTTGTAGGTTACTTTTCTGTATACTAAAAGTACATAAAGTTTTGACGTCATAGGTTTATTTTATTATCCTTTCTTGGAATTCGTATAGCATAAAATAGATCTAAAACATATCTATTGAAATCTACTGAATATTTGACAAGGTATTTACTGATGGAATAAAAATCGAACTGACAACCCTGGTCCGCGCGGAAGTGAGTTGACAACAACTGTCATTTGCTGTTGTCTAATTAATTATTCACGTGTGTGAATAGGACCGTGATGTAGATATACGTGTTTGAGGTCAACGAAAAAATGTAATATGCACCTCGGCGAAAAACTGTATATTGTCTCGCCTGATTGCTGATTTGCAGACTCGACTATAATAGACAGTGTTTTGTCCTTGGTACATAAATAACTATTGTAGATAGATAACCGATAAGAGAACATAGAAAGAAAATTGGATATATGTATATCAAAAGGCAGAGTTAGCTCTTAAACGTTCATTCAAGCTAGTCATTTCTGTGGACAATTATGACAGATAATAGGTGACGCAAGTCCGAACGTACGATCGTAAATGATGAGCGATACCAATAATATGAGGTATGCCGAACTTTAGTTAGTTATGAGACAGTTCTTGTTCAGAATCGAATTTTCTATCGATAAAGAATATTGTATACTGGATGGCCCATTTTAAAAAAATTAACCTTCTGACATAACTCGTGTACGCGATGTTCGATTTTTCTTTCGATTCCATCATCGTAATCAGTGGAAAAATACTACCTACTAGTTTGTCCAATTAAACGACATTGTAGCTACAATAATAACCAAGTTAACAATAGTGCTGAGTCAAGTTTGAAAACTCTGTATATGTGCTGTTTTCGTTGTATTCGCTTATTCATTTGTTGATTTTGATCAATATAGTTAATTCGCAATAGAAAATAAGCGTACGCCACCTAGCGAGGTTTTTGAAAGCTGTTTACTCTGCTTTATTTCAAATTTGTTTTTTCTTGTTGTGCCTATTGGTCACATCCATCAAAACAAATCGCTCAGAATGTTCAAGTTGTTGACGTCAGGTTAAGCAAGGTGTTATTTTTTATCGTGAATTATTTGATTTTCTGTTTCTCACCCAGAAGAGGTTCTTCTTCTGATTTTTCTTTCATTTTCAGTTCAGGCTCTTTCAGATGTTTAATCACGAACAGCAAAACTCATCATCATCATACCAATATATATTCATGAAAGATTCATCTATTGTGTCATCGCCAGCATCCCGTTATTTTTTTGGTAAATACCTTCTAACCTGACAAATCTAGATGAAACGCAAATATTTCAAGCAATATTGACGTATGTTTTTTTTGATTTCAGAAAGTAACATGGTTGCCATAGAAAATGTTTTTCAAGTAAGAATTTTCAGAATATTATAAATACCTACTCATCATTTGACAGAATTTCAACAGCAAATTTAACTTAAACATTAATTTTTCACCTGCGGTTTTTCCTCGAATTTTTCCAAAGGATGATTGTGGTTTATATTCAAGGCCACCACTTGTAAAGCCACTCCAGAGTGTATTAGCCTGATCCGAAAATATGCTGGACATTCTGTTTTCTTTCTGAAAATAAAAGATACTACCAATGTTTATTGGTTGAATGGAATTTACAAACGAATAGATGAATTCAAATTCCCAGGGTTTTACATCACTCAGCGAACACTGATTGGTAGAGGATGAGCCGGTCTCCTCCTCCATCAAATGCACCTCGGCTGCCAGATACAACCACCGACATCACTACTATCTAGACCGTTATATGTTATATCTCAGTAACCGGAAAATCTCATCCAAATCACTCCCTCGAAAACGCTGCTGTTCAATGCGCCCGAATCCCCAAACTGCCATCCATGACATCGAGTCATGTCTCTTTTGATGCTCGGGAACATTAGTAAGAGTGAGTCAGATATATGAAAGGTCCTGAATGCGCACGATCTATTCGCGATAGAAAATAACAAGTCGCCCCATCTGACGGCCGCATGTGGAACACTTCTGAGCGGTTTGTTTTGATGATATGACCAATAGAAACAATAGAAACAGAATACAAATATGAATCAGTTAAAACAAAGTAAACAGGCAGCTTTGACAGCTTTCAAGAACTCCGATAGGTGGTGTACGCTTATTTTCTATCGCGACTTGAGCTCGTTTCTGTCTTGAGAGGAATATTCTCTCCTCTTCTATCTTTCTCTTCAGTGCTACCAACGTGACCCCATTAAATAAAGAAAGATCCGATAACTTTTTCCTTGTCTAACATATGGTTTGTGCCTCTGAACCATTTTTTGAATTTAGCAGTGTTAAATTTAACGATATTAACAAATTATGTCAAAAATTAGGTATGTTAATTTAGCAGTGTTAAATTTAACGATATTAACAAATTATGTCAAAAATTAGGTATGTTATCATTTGAAATTTCATTTCGATAATTCGAAAAGGTTATCAGTTAAGTAGTGACAGTCATGACATAGACATATCACATCGAAAATAGTTCAGTGGCACAGACTCTCTTCATATTTTAATGCGACCACGTTGGTAGCATTGAAGAGAAAGATGGAAGAGAAAACATTTCTTCTCTCTCGTTCAAGATAGAAAAGAGCTCAATTGAAACCAAGTTCGATCTTGTAAATGAATGAGCTTTGATCTTATGGCATTAGGGGATTTTATATTTTCTCATGATTTTCTCCATTTGTTGTCAATAGCTTTTTCTCAAATATGAAAGAAAACAGAACAGATGGAATCGATCAAAAACTCCAGAATTTTTTCCAATACAACAAAAAATTACAGAACTAATTTAATTCACGAATAAAAAGGTGTTGTGTGAAGTTAGCGCCGATAATTTTTTCTATAACTGTATTGATTCACCAGAACCATAGATGAAGTAGGTCTAGAACCCCAGAACTTTATATCATACAACAAAAAATATCAGAAATAATTTTTTTGAAAAAAAACAGTGCTGACGTAGCACGTAGTTATAGCTCAAAATTTATTTATTCTATTCGATTCTACGGTTTGCTGGAACTATTAGAAGTGTTATTATTATATATTATCATATTTATATCTCCGCAGCTAATGACAATTGAAATTTCTATTCATTCGGTTTAGTCTAATTTCTAGATTATAAACATTTTTAAATATTTTTATGAAAATAATAATTATTAAACAATTCATGTCTAATTTCAAATAAGAGTGTACAACTTTTTTCAATTTACTGTAACTTCATTCTTCTGAAAACATAATCATCTCCGAATTTTACATCCAATGTTGGGTTATGACTATTTGATTTTTGAAATTCTACGTTATAAATCTGAATTTCACATCAAAATTCATTACTCAGAATCTTAAACTTCCCAAATATAGTCGGAATTTTATAATTCCGAGTTATAACTCAAAATATTGCATTTAATTTTCCGAAATATCATAAGAAGGGGGTTCAAAAATTAAAATTCACGTATTCTTGGATTTTCTCACAAGTCGCCTATCTCTGAAATAACGAATTTATTCCTTACGTTTGAAACGTACCATAATCAAAACAATCGACTGATGAGTATTCTCGACTCTCACTTCATTGGTCACAATAACGACTGATTGTCCAAACAACATGAATGATAAATATTGAATAAATGAAACAGTAGAAAAATACAAAAAAAAATCAGAGAAAGCAGGTATTGAAATTCCGCCCAGCGCTCAAGGTTAAGGGGCAAAACACAAGCGATAATCGACCAAACTAACACCAATCAAATCCTTGAATCAAATCGCTGGCCTCCTCCTTTTGTGACGCCATCTATCCGTAGCCTCCTTTCGCATCCAACGGAAACTCCATGACTCGCTCCATGATACTAAGACTATATTCAGAATTCAACTGACAGTACTGAATCTGCAGATTTTTCATTCCGAAATAAAAAAATGCACTGAGAGTGACATATATTTGTGAGCATACATACTATTCATTCCAAATATTTCGACTCAACATTCTGCTGAAATTGCTGACTATCAAAAGGTAGTGTGGCTTCAGTGAACTGTCATTATTTCAGAGGAGAAGGAATGTCACATTCATTGCCGTTGTTTTCAACATTTAAATCTTGTCATATCAATAATCAATCAATAATATCATATTTTCCGTCGACCTCGTATTAACGACTAAGTTTAATGTATATGAAATCGCTCATTAATGACCCCTATTAATGAACGATTTGTCTATTAATGCACGATTGTTTTGTAGGCAACCAAACATACACCGCGTGCATTCATTGTTTATGCTATAACTTACGGAATCTGCATTTCGATTTTAATCCCTGTTTTCTAAGACAAGGAATTTATTTTTTATGTTGATCATTTCGACAAATGTCAAATGTCACTAATGTCAGTAACAAGGCTACTGGGTGATTCTTAGCAGTTCGGATGAATGATGAATTCGCGAACCAAGTTTTCTTTATTGCAGGAGAAATGAGAAATATAGTCGACGGATTTTTTTTTTAACCAACTTGTATATTAAAAGGCGATTAATACACTAGTTGGTTAAATAACTATTGATATCAGAAAATGCATGTTATTGAAATAATTGACGCTGGGAATGACATTCAAATTTCACCAGTTGATCAACTGCTGCTGATTGCTTATGAAAAACCTGAAAACTTGTTCAGAATTACAGCAATGTATTTTTGATTTATTTTTCGGAACACAGATTTTTAGAAGTCATTGGATTTAATGAGAGTACTGACCAGTTGAATTCGGAATATTACCTTAAACTAAGAGGAGATATGACATCACTTGGGGTTCGTGTTTTGAACGGCTTCGCGCTTGACGTCACTCTATTATTCTTGGATTAGATATTTTAGAATTATATTGGTGATGAATCAAACATTATAAAATGAGAAAATAAAGAGATTTATTTACATTCTTCATTTCACTGGATGTCATTATTAATAGGAATATTGTTCATCATTCCATTTTATTATTGTTGAAAGAAGAAAGAGAATAATACTTATTGGATATCTATCTATTTCTTGGAAAATATTGTTTTTTCGAGAACTTCATTTATAAGATCAATAAAATTCCCTATGAAGTCAATTTTCATGTTATTTGAATCAACAATTCAGTAAAAGTAATATGTATAAGATGATTATTTTCTGATAAAACACTGATCCATAAATTCAAGAATAATTTATTTTCCACATACGTCAAAAAATGACATTGTTGATAACATTATTTTATGGGAAGTGATTTTTTTTCAGTTTATTCCTATGTTACTATGATACCGTGCACAAAATAGTGTGCGAAATGAATAAGTGCACGAAATACATTTTTCGCGCACTGCATGTGAACGTAATACTTTGGCGATCAAGAACTGAGTTATCTCAACGAGGCGCAGCCGAGTTAAAAAAATAGTCACAACACTAGGTACAAAAATAATTATTTTATCCAAATCGCATTGAAAGTGGCTTTTTAATGACACATAACATGCATTAAAGGTGTATTTTTACTGCCTAGGCAGAAAAAGTTTGTTGCTATGCAACGTTTCAAATGGTTTCAAGTAATAATTTCGATCAAATTGGTAATCGAAATTGACAATGACATAGGGTGAACACAAAATTTTCTATAAAAAATCACACAAAATTGGTTTTATAATATTCGAAGAAAAAAATTATGTTTCACACGGCAGAAAAGAAGATTCAATGCTTTGGCTCGTTTCCTAGCCTCGGCTACGCCTAGGCTATGAATCTTGAGCTTTTCTGTCTAGTAAAACAAATAACCTTTATTCAACAACTTTCGTCATTAGAATAGTTGAGTGGAAGATCAGCTGTCGATTTATCGGCGAGTTGAACTCTGCCTTTTGTTTCATTGAGACAATAAGAGCATTTATTATTTTTATTTTCCGTTTTTGGATGTTTCTTTTGTTTTTATTGTGGATTCTTATTTTGAAATACATTTCACACCATAAAAAAGATTTTTGACTAATTTATTCAAATTCATGTGTTACTTTTTTCGATTTTTATAGAATTTCAATTACAATGGTTGAATATTTGGTCCAGCTCATTGCATTTTGTTGAAAATGCTAAGGTGGCTGGTAACTTGTAGAGTTTTTGCTCCTTTTATTATTGTTACTTGAACAACCAACCATAGCACACAAAAACATCGTTTTTTTAACAAAATCAAATAGAACTAATGGAAACGCATTAAGAACACACTGCTTTCGCCAACTTTCAACTTTAATGGACGCCAGCCGAAATTTGTCATGGGGTGAGCATCTCTTCTCCTGGTTTTAGTATCATCCGTAAACTCCATAAGGTTATTTTACTAGGCCACTAGGCTAGTCTTCATACAATGCAGCTATGATTAGGAACACCATATTCTTATAAACATACATATCTACTATCATCACCTGATCCAAACAATATGCCTGGCAAAGGTATAGTAGGCCATAAACAATTGACGGATATTTGAACAAAAACCACTTAGACACTTCTGTCAATATGAATTAATTAATTGATATATTGTATAACTGAAAGTTTAGATCATGTACCATTGGAATATGAGGAAATACCTATATGCATATATTTACTATTCCTATATATGGTGCATCCATAATTATCTTAACAAAAATGGGACCAAAATGAGAGGTATTCTTGAATCTATAAGGATGGAATGTGAAGGATGGAAATAGCCATATTGGTTTGACAAGTTCCCTATTATTTTTTCCCTGCATAGGCATCAACGCCTATTGGTCCATTTCATTACCTATAGGGACAGAAGTTGGGCCGGGTTTGAGGACAGCTATGCTTCATATATTAGTAGTAGATATATGCCTATATGAGAATTATGAGATCATAGGAATTCAAGAAGGAAAGTGATATTTGTTTCATGATAGTCATGAAAACACTGTTCACTTGGATTATACAGATCTTACAGGTCTTATGCCAACGAGTATGCCAAGGAAGCATACTAATATGTTTCCCAATTCACAGGAGGTAATACATTTTTTTCTTCCATAGCAGTAAATTGATTACTTATATGTGGAAGCAAATGCCTTGTCTGCAGACCTGTAGATAGACTGTTCCATGTCATTGAATACTTGTACTGTTATATTTACTACCTGACTCCAAACCCCAGGGGGAAACATCCAAATTAATAAACAGGGTGTCCTGAAATTAGCCTGCCAAACTCTACCAGCAGATTCAATGACCAAAAATAGGAAGATAAATTATTCAAATGAACATGCGTTGAGATGTCTCCTGAGGGAGCTAAGGCACCTTTTTTGGCATCTTTTTTCCTTAAAGCCATGTGGATTTTCATAATCCAAGATTGACATGATGAAAAATATAAATATGAAAAGTTTGAGCAATATTTATTATATGTATGTATTATACACTCCTGAATAGCATTTTGGAATTATTTTATTTCCACTGCATTGGGAATGGCAAGTTTAGTTCTTGTACTGAATTGCATCATTATATCATCACACTTCAGGACTTACCTTTCAGGAGGCAATAGCTTCCAGGAGACTTTTTCTACTCATGTTCATTGAAACTTTTCTTCTTATTGTTTGTCATAGGAGCAGCTGGTGAAGCAGGCTAATTTTGGGACTCCCTGTATAAGTAACCAGTATAATAATCCATTAGGTCTAAGAATCCTATCAAAAGATGGATCAGGGACAAATGGGGGGAAACAAGTAAGAGTTTAGAGAACAGCGAACCTAAACAGGGAAGATCTGACCCTACTGAAATATCACATAAGTAATCAATAGGAAGACAAACTACCATATGAAATACATGGTTGAACATGAAGAATATTTTAAATATATTGAAGTAGTTATGTTTTTTGCATTTATATATACAAATCTACTATAGTAGAAAGGTAACTTACATTTTCAGATTCCTCATTTTTCTCTTCCTGTCTCCAGTTTTGAATTTTGTTTGTCGTCCAAATACACAAATCAGTTTCAATTCTGAGTAAACAAAACTTTCTTTGGCAGTTGCAAATTCATCAGTAATTAATCTGGAATCTTTAGTAGTAAATTTAGTATTCGTACTATTACAGTATTCCTTTAGTTTGTCCATCAGTTCATTATAACTTTTAAAACAAGCGCCGATTTCGAAATGCTCCATTCTATATTTATATTCAAAATATTGCCTTTATTTTATGTCCAAATAATATCAGCTAAATTTCATCTGCCTGACAACTGAGAGTCAAATTTCAACTTCAACTGACAAGAAAGCAGAGGTTATCTAATTATCTTCTTCTTTTCTCTAATTTAATGACTTAGTCTTTCTCGTCCTTCGAGTGAACCATCATTTGGCATTTCACTCTTGGTAACTTATCTCTGCCATGACTCATAAAAATTGTTCAAGAAATTGTGTTGCCGAGCAACACCACACAAGTGTTTAGCAAATCTGATGGGGACGAGCCATCTACTTCTCGAGAAACCATTTCAAAGTCCGTTATAATTGTGTTTTATGCTGATTTGAAATAATGTACCAAAATTGTACATTTTCAGATTGATGGAAGTAAGATATACTTTCATTATTATTTTCAGTTTAACGTGTGGTAGGTACTACGCTTTATAAGTTATAAGTTGGGCGCGGCAACACTGCGGCCCATTTATCAATAAAATAATACCAAAGAATATAGGTTTGATAATACCCCGCCATCGTCACTTCATCAGACTTACCTGCACTAGGCCGGATCTCCTGCTAGTTCAATGTTTGCTGATGGGAATAAACTATTAGTGATATCAGAATATTGTGATGAATTCAGTCCTGGTCCATTCAAATCGATTTTCGCTTAGCTTATTGAGCTGAGAAGCTTCAATGTTTATTCACGATGCCAGCATAAGTTAAAAAATCATCATACTCATTTTTGTTCAATAAATTTGTACCCAGTACTGAAGATAAGGTAGATGACTGTTCGCCAAACATTTTTTTCAATATCTTGACTGTCTTATCAAACTTGATATCACTTGATGGATGTTTTTGGTAACATGAAATTAATTGTTATATTTTTCACGTGCTTCGAAGTAAAAGACGAACGCTTGCAGCATCATCCATCAGTTTCACTCCGTCGAGCACAAAGATCTGGTACAAATTCCACGACATTTTTGGCCAGTGATTCAATGATTCCCATGCTCTGTTCTCATTGCCCAGCCTATCTTCACCAACAAGTCAAGAGTTCAGAACTGAGCTTCAGAATCTATTATTCTCGTCTCCCTCGCCACACTATTAGCTATCGTTGTATTCGATAGAATTGTACTTTATTTTTTAAAATCTGACTGGATATATTCATTAGACAAAATCCTGACTGCATAAATATCTTGTTTCATATATATTCAACATCTACTGAGGGGCTCTAACAACTCTTCTTTTGCATCAATCAGAGATAAATTATACCTAGAATCACTGGATGCATAGTCAAAGAATAGTAGGTTAGTTACCTTTGCCAATGTGTTATTCATCACAGAAATTGAGATACTTTATTATATATTATATCAAGAAGGAAATATTCAGATTCGAATTTACCGCCATAGCTTGAAGCGCTCTGATTGGTCTGAAAATGCATCCCAATCATGGCTGTTTGGGTTCTTGCCTGTCAGAGACACAGGCCCACATCCCACATGACACCTTGCCTTTTTGGCTTTTTTTTAGATATGTTATTAAGAAGAAGATTAAGTTTGGTTTTGGTGTTACTTGTCTTTTCACTGACGTTTGGGTTTGGAAGTTAGATCAGAAAATTCTTTTCTCCATTTCCAGCATATTGCAGTTGATTTTATTCCAAAAATTATATTTTTTTGAATATTTTCTTGAAATTTGTTGACTGGATATGACTAATTTAGAATGTATTCAGCAGATTCCGCGTGTCTTAGAGAATATCAATTTCCCAGAAGAGGAAGAAAAAATTCAAATATACTGGAACAAAATTGATGCATTTGGAACATGCCTGAAGCAATCTAAGGGTAAACCAAGGTAAAAATTAGAACTTGAGATATTTCAGAAGAACTTATATGTACAATTTAGGTATACATTCTATGACGGCCCTCCTTTTGCTACTGGTTTACCACATTATGGACACATTCTTGCTGGAACCATTAAAGATGTTGTTACAAGATATGCACATCAACAAGGGTTCCATGTCGAGAGAAGATTCGGATGGGATTGTCATGGGCTTCCTGTTGAATATGAAATTGATAAAACTCTAGGAATCAAAGGGCCTGATGATGTAATGAAAATGGGTATTGACAAGTATAATGCAGAGTGTAGAAAAATCGTTACTAGATATAGTAAGGAGTGGGAAATTACTATCCAAAGGATTGGAAGGTGGATAGGTAAGTTCTTGGTCCATTTTATCATTCACTGGAGAAATAGTGGGAACAGGATCTTTGGTCCTTGAAAAGACTGGTAATACTGTGGATATATATTGATTGGTTCTTCACTTCTGCAATATTCAAGAGAAATCATACATTTGATTTTTGAGGAAGTTGTTAGCAGTTGCAAAAAATATAAATGATATTGCCTATGTGTTTCTTGACAGTTTAGAGATTCAATCCAATTCTAGGCAAGTGGACTGAAATCAATTTCATATGTTTTTAGAATTTTTCTGTTGATTTTAAGGTGATAAAATCATCAATAATGACATGGTAATTTTCAAATGGCTAGAAATTTACCAATGGTTGTGTGTTATGTGTTATGTTCCCTCATATGTGTAAATTATAATTACTATATTAATTCACACTAGAGGACATTTGAGCCAGTGAACATGACAACAAAGCTCAGGAATTGTGGGCTGTGTCTTGCTAGTTCTCAGCATTAAATACATTGTTGGGAAGTCTTCAACATTCACATGATATTTTGTTATGGAGTATAAGAAATATTTGGATATGCTGGTTGCTGGAAAAAGTCAAAAATGAACTATAATGGCATTCTCCTATTATGTTTTATCTCCTGTTTTATTCACAGGATTCTAATAATTGGTGACTTGACAACCTTTCTTCATAAGTGGGAATGGAAGATTATCTGACCAATAACAAAAAAGCATAAAAACTGAATTCATCATTTATTCATTACTTAACAATTTACATAACAAAAGCATGAGAAGTGTTACAAAAATTAATTTAGGTCACAGTGCAGTAATTGAATGCCAATAATTCATTATCAGTCCACTCACATATCATCAAATTGGTTTGAATCTATACTCATAAATACTTGTTTCAGTCAAGTTGGACCAATCTTCATCTCTGATGATTTATTGATGCTTGTTTGATTTTTTAATAATTTCTTTTTTATTATGTTCAAATTTATATGCAATGGACATATTGGAGACTTTTTTTAATAATGCCAGAGGTGCCAACAATAGGAACAGGGTGGCTGGAATTCAAGTCTCATCATTGGGATCTCATAAACCATAAGAGAAACAGGGTCTGTTAAATTATGGTAAAGTTGTGTAATTTTATGTCTAACAAAATGCCGTTTCGAAATATGATTAATTCCGAGACTCTATTTGAATAGATGTAACAAAACAAATTACACATTCTCATTGCTACTTTTTCTGTTCTGCAAGTTGATGTTTCAAACCTATGCTTTGTCTTTGAGCTGCAATCATCAAATTAATTTTCTTAAATATAGCCCTAGATTTTTTGTCATGAATTTCAGGAGCTTTTGATCACCTTAAATCAAGGGTGTATTGCACTTATTGAAAAATATCATATTAATGGCATTTTCCATAAGAACTCATGTGTTAGAGAGAGACAGTGAATAGATTTAATGGGATTTAAAACAAACACCTTGCAATCTATTTCAATGGATTTTTTCAGTACTAATATGATGCCAAAGTCATCAATGAAAAAATATCATCAAACTACTGGTATAAAAAACAGTTTCATAGGAGATACAATTTTTCAAATATTACATAGAAATCAAAAAAATATCAAAATCTAAAAGTTGCAATAAAACGTTCAAATTTGAGACTCATGTGTGAAAAAATGTTACTTTTGGCATGAAGCGAAAGTCACGTGACCCCGACCGAGTAGGCCATTTTTCATCTCTTTCAAAGCAAAACTTAACGCCAAAGTCGAATTTTAATAGCTATTATCAAGGCAGCAAAAATATCCATTTCCTCCCGTCGACACATAGCGGGGGGGGGCGGCATTAAACACACATGGAAACGTTCATAAATATAACAACAGGTGTGAAAACAGCAACGGGATTTATCCAGCAATGAAAGAGATCCCCAAAGACATGCTACAGAGACAGGATATCTATAAAACTTGCTCATATCAAATTAGAAGTGTAATTTTTTAAAATAATATGAATTCAATGATTAATTCTACTCTAATGAATACAAAACACTTCATTGAACATTATCAGATAGTTATTGAAAAAAACAGAATTCCAAGTTGAAGCTCAGCAAATGATAAAAGATGTTGGATACTTTCCTGAGCAAGAGTAGATAGTTGTTTGATTTTGTAGCATCAAAATAATCCCTCTTACACCCTCTTATCAAAATAATCTGTAATGTACTGAATCACTCAGGAAATAACTATATTCTTCATTTATTTCTTCATGTACAAATTACCATAATCATTCAATGACATGCATTCCAAGAATCTTGTTTTCAATAAAATCGGTACTAAGCAACAACAGAATACTATCCTGATTCCAAAATTGATTTATACTGTATGAACTATAATTTAAAGATACAATACTTAACATCTCCCCCTTAAAAAAAAATTCACAATAATAAAAACCACCAAAACCATGTTAATATGATAACCGAACTGGAGGTTTAATGACTTGCTTTGGTCTCAGTGAACATTCATCACTTTTTTCAACTTCATCATTGCTATATACCTTCACTTGTTTATCCTCCCTATTCAATTCATCACCTCTTATCTCCGGCTTTGTAATATTATCATCCTCAAAAGACCTTTCCTAAATTTGAATTTTCCTGGATATTTGATTCAACTAATGCTTTTTTTTATTTGATTCAAATTCTGGCACTTCTACTGTATACACTGACTTGCCAAGTTTTTCAAATGTCGTTTTATTATTTCTGTAATTTTTGACAGTACTTAACTGATTCACCTTGTTTGAATATTATTGACCTCTTTCCCTCATGATATTCCTCTTGTTTGTTTTGTTCAGATGCAATTTTACTTTTCAATTCCAAATTATCCTCTGGTAATAAACAACTAAATTGACTAAATTGAGTCCTCAAATTTCTACCAAACATTAAAAACGCTGGACTAACTTTTGTTGTACAATGGAGTGTATTTCTATAATTGAACAAGAATATAAACCTCAGATCTTCTATGCATTCTATCTATTGCATTTTATTTTTTCAGACTTCAAAAATGATTATAAAACATTGTATCCATGGTTCATGGAATCGGTGTGGTGGATTTTCAAGCAATTGTATGTCAAGGGACTTGTATATCAGGGTTTCAAAGTTATGCCCTTTTCAACAGCATGTAATACTCCATTATCAAACTTTGAGTCCGGCCAGAATTACAAAGATGTCGTTGATCCAGCAGTAACAGTCAGCTTTCCATTGCTGGATGACAAAGATGGTGAGTTATATTCCTCTTGATATTCCTGCTATGGTAAAGCCTTTATTTCTAACACATCGAAAATGCCTAATGATATTAATAGTGGCATTCTGGCTTCCTGATATTTAGACTGGTCATTGTTATTTTGAATGAAAACAGTAGGCGAGGTATACTATTCTCTGTTCAATGGAAAGACATGATGCAAAAATCGCCCTCATAGACCAAGTTAGTAGAAGAGATAGGTTGTTTCGTAACGTCCAACCAATCATCGGCCAGCGCGGGATAGCGTCATCCAGAGTGCCCATTTCAAATCGTGAACTTGAAGACCTTGTTTGTTGTGTTTGATATACCCAATCCTGATCACTAATTACGATGCAATTGTGAACAGAGATATATTTCAAAGCCTATAATTTCAATATTTTGTCAAATTCAACCGTTTATATCAGAAATTAAAAAAAAAGTGCAGAATTCAGAATCTTGATCACCCGGTATATGTCCCAATTAAATATCAGTAGATAGTTATTCAAAAGTTGAGATAGGGACATGTAAGCCGTTTTGACCAATTATGAATAGTTTGGACACAGAAAATTCTTGAACTTGGAAAATCTCGATTTTTCACACCCTATATTTCAGTAATTATAACTGCTAGACCCCAAGTATGATGGGTCGTTGAAATCAGCTCATCAGGGAGAATCTCAAAATGAAATAATATATAGGGTGTTTGATAGAAAAAAGTTTAACTTCAGTGTTTTATGGTTTTTGGGGACACCCTGTATGTTTCGAAATAATTTTAAATGGTAGCCTATGTTGACATGCAACTTCCTAGAGAGGAAGAATTCCAAGAAGATAAGTGGTTAGCCTTCTAGAGACCAAGGTATACTGGTGGCCCACCCTGTGTATATATATATATATATATATATCATATTTTCTACGCATTATTGGTATTTTTGTTTAAACACGATATTTTCTTTGGACTGTCAGATAATTGTTGCTGGTAAATAACATTTCTTGTCAGTGAATATACAAATCTTGGTGCGAGTACAGGGTGATTCCAAAATTTGATGTAAATATTTTGACATATTGTTTATATCAAAATAAGACGTTTTTTTTTCATATAAACATGTGTCCTAAAAGCCACTCCCTCCAAGCTACAGCCACTGTAAGTTAAATAAAGAGAAAATATATTCTGAAACTGTGACTAAAATAACGGTACAAATCTTCTAGAAATTGGCAGGCCCCTGTCCTCTTAGATTCTTTCTTCAAAAATTATGTAAACCCAGTTTTGACTTGTAGGGGGTCCTCACTTTTATTAGCCGAAATGGGGTGCATTTTGGGACATACAATACGTCCTTAGAATATTTACATCGAATTTTGAATCACCCTACATAGTTGATACTTCTTCGATTGAAACGCCCTGTATCTTTTTCCACAGCAATATACCGGGTGGCTACGGAAGTATTGCCTATGGAATATCTCAGTTATTGTATGAAGTAGGTTTGTGAAATTTGGAGCGTCGATATAATGACATTAGAGCTAGAATTTGAGCATATTGACATGTCGAAGTTAACTTCCGGTCTGACCGGAAGTAACATCAACTTTCTTATTTTGAATGGAAACCCTATTTTTTTTTCTTTTTGCTTTATTCAGCATTCAATTCCCTTTCTAATGACATATCACAAGTTGTTATCTAACCAGAAACTAGATCAGAAAAAAATTATTATTGAAATTCACTGAGAAGGCCGTGGAAGCAAAATGAAAGCCAATAATTGAAAAAATGGCTATGGAAACCATACGTTACTTGATAACAGTTGCTACTACTGTGATATTTTATTTTCATTCGTCGGCGTTATAAAAAGCCGCCAAAAAAATTTTGGGAAAATTGGGAGAAAAACAATACTCTATAGGTCCATAACTTAAATAGGAACATACAACTTTTTCTTGCCTGTACTATTCAGCATAACCATTCCTCTCTAATGATATGGAAAAAAGTAATTTTTTGAAATGCAATATCAAAAAATCCAATTATTATTCTTCATATTCGGCCTACTCGGTGAATTTCAATAATAATTTTTTTCTGATCTAGTTTCCGGTTAGATACCAACTTGTGATATGTCATTAGAAAGGGAATTGAATGCTGAATAAAGCGAGAAGAAAAAAAAAAAGGTTTCCATTCAAAATAAGAAAGTTGATGTTACTTCTGGTCAGACCGGAAGTTAACTTCGACATTTCAATATGCTCAAATTCTAGATCTTATGTCATTTTATCGACGCTCCAAACACAAACCTGCTTCATACAATAACTGAGATATTCCGTAGGCAATATACTTCCGTAGCCACCCGGTATTTTATTGAGACATATTTGGTGCTATCGCCATATTTTGGTCAAAACAATCCGCCCTTAGTCTATGTCCCAATAGTTATGACTAATCTTATATAATTTTTTTTATATACCGGGTGTCAACGAATCTATTAGACAAGTCATAACTTCTAGACCATTAGGTGTATCAAAGTGAGATTTGGTGTAGGTAAATGGTATGTGAAGAGGAGAGTTTTCACATATTTTTCACTTTCTGGTCACTTCCGGTTTCACCGGAAATGGCTCCGGTTCTAAATTTTTGCATGGAACACCCTGTATATTGTAACATTTCTGAGTTTCTGAGACAATTCTAGATCAGGATGTGACATTTTCGGAAGTTTTTATGCCTACTTAATTTTTTCGGAGTCACTTTTGAAATTACATCTAGGTGGCCATGATCGGAAGTAAACTAATCTAAGGACCTCAGGTGATATCATAAAATTACAATCGCGAAGTTTTAGTGACAAGTATGATAGATATAAATAAGAAAAGTTGGCAAAATTACATTTTCGTGTCTAACTATTATTTTCCAAAAGGCGACCATTTTTTGACAAGCACTTTCCGAAAAAAGGATATTTTGATGAATCTGACGATACTTATGTATTTGCGATTGGATTACAAATAAGTACATAAATTAAATATTACTGACGAGAATACTTCATACTAATTTATTTACTTTTGTCAAGTGTGCCATGGATATTAATTCATTTACTTTTGTAAGCACTTCCCGAAAAAAGGATATTTTGACGAATCTAACGATACTAATTTATTTGCGATTGGATCAACAAATTTGTTGTTGATTTTGTTGGGCCCAGTACCGAGAATTTTGCTTATCAAACAAGCCATTATTTGTAAATCGTGATTCGTCGAAAAATAGAATGAAGTTGATAAAATTTGGGTTAACTCTATGATTTTGAAGCAACCAATCACTAAACACTACTCGTCTATCGCCATCGTCAGCATACAAATGTTGATGTAAATGATATTTAAATGCTCGATATGCGTGCTTTTTCAATATTTTTCTTGCTGATTCGTGACATCTGCATTTCTCGACTAATTTCTCTTAAAGAAACCGTTTTGTCAACCTCAACCATAGCAAGAACGTTAATCTCAGTCTCCTCATTCATGTTCTGCCTCTCGATTTACCTCTTTCCTAAAATAATACATACGGAAAATACTGATGGGATGGATGTTGCCGATTGGGATATCTTTGAGCATACAACTCAGCAGCATTCCTTGAATTTCTTAGACATTCTCCAAACAATAACAACATATCCACTTTTTCACTTTGAGTTTACATTATTTTGACGGAATATTAAACTAAAATTTAACGAAGCTTATGTCACTTTCATAGCCTAAGTGAGTGTTTTGTTCTCCCAAGAAGACTTGATCGAAATAATTGCAAAAGATTATGCATCATGCCTATCCTCGGCACACTTGACAAAAGTAAATAAATTATTATGAAGCATTTTCGTCAGTAATATTCAATTTATGTTCTTATTTGTAATAAGAGTATACGAAGATGATCTAAAGAATTCTTGGTTGAACAGGGATGTGAAATCAGTTTGAGTCAGTCAATTCAGGAAGTTTCTGCTATTTCATCATCAGATTATCTCCATGGTGGCCATTGTGATCTCTGCTCCATCATTCCATCACAAGCAATAACCAGAGTCTGAATCGGAATAAGGTTGTTTTCGATACTCGCTCAGTTTATAAATTGTGGGTTCGGCTCTTCCTCTCAATACGATCCTATTCTTCAACTTCCTACCAAGAAATTTAAATACTTCGAAAATGTTGTGGCCTGAACCTATATTCCATGCCGGCTGCATCATATTCTGTTTCCATTTTTGTAGAATTACGTTATCCGATTGACATTCGAATAGAGTGAATTGATTTCCCGTGTTCTCACAGTTGGAAACTGCACAACTTGCATCATTCTCCTAATTCTCTCAATTTGTCAAACCTTTGAAATTAATGTCATGTACGTCCGTGTACTGTCAGTTCCCGATTTTTCCATCAATTCATTTGTGGTTATGTCTGATTGTCAGTGCTTGTCATAGTGTCCGTACTCTGATATACAAAAAACGTCAAAATCAGCAGTGTCAAGTACATTTAACAAAAAATAAGATGAAATGAGGTTAAACCTACAGGATCACAGTACGAGATTCAATGTGAACAATATGTCTAATGCCTGGCCTGGCACTCTCGATGACGCGCCTATCCCCTCATAGACGATGTTTTCAGTAAGTCAGTGACCTCTGTTACGAACTAAATTGTTCATTTGTTATCCTTACCTCAGAAATTTTAGGTATTTCTAATACTTTCTTGTCAAGTTTGTGAACCAACATTTTCCATGTTGAAACATGAACATTGTCCATACCTACATATTTAGTTTGATGAAAGCCAGATGTTTATGCATTGATACAATGCTCGATTTATTGATGCTATTTGTATTTGAATTTGAATAGGAACAGAAAACTCATCAGTGCTTTGATGACATATTGTTGTTTGCACTTTGTTGAAATAAGAATAGAAACTGCTTATTCATCTTTATATTGTTGATAACTTTGACCATCTCTAAAAAAATCACACCTACATAGGTATTTTGTCAACTGTGAAATGAACATTCATAAGTGATGAGTAGAAACAAATCAATCACACATAAATGAACCAGTGGAAGGAATTACATCCAAAATGAGGCTATTAGACCAAGTCGATAATTTTTGAAACATTTTGAAAATTATAGTAGAATGAAACCCATTAAAAAAGAAAGAGAATATGACAAATATGACAGAAAAATAAAACGTGAATCCATTTACATCGCAAAAAACATGCGAAAATAGTTGTTCTGAAGAATGAAGGGGATTTCATCTTGAAAATGTGGCTGCTACTTTTTCGTTTAATAATAATAATAATAATAATAATGTTTATTCGATCACAGTTACATGTGAGTTTTACAAAAGGAAAAAAATAATAATCTCTGAACATATAATAAATTGGAACATACATTCGAAATGCTATAATACCTTACGAATAAACAAAGATATACCACTAAGGCAGAGCCAGCGCGTGGTCTTTGCATTTTCTGGGAAAATTTACCACAAATACTTTCAACGAACAAGAAGCCCATCGACTTTTTTGAAAAAGCACATATTTTGACGCGAGAAATTTCGATTGAAAATTAGGATGCTTTTTCGATATCAAAATAAGGTGAAAAAAATGTCATCTTCTCTCTGCTTCATTTAATATATATATATACATATATATATCAAACTATATTATGTAGTATAAATGTGTACTAGAATAATAATACATACACCTGTAATTGGGTCTCATGACCTGTTGGATGTATTCACGAATAAATAAATAAAATAAAAGATTAAAATATTTCGAATCAAACAAATTACAGTGTTATTGGGACATGGAGAGACAATTTTCCACCAAATTTGTTTTTTTTGTTAAAGATAATGAGAAACCAAAAAATTGGTTATTTCAACATCAATTTTGAGGTTATGTGAAAAATTGTTGAAATAAAAGTGAGAGATCTGTTTATTACCTATAACTTTGCCAATCATTTTTTTTTCCATGGGGCTTGTAGTTTTGCCAGAAATCGAGATAAATCATTTTTGCCCTTGAAAACTCACCCCCTTACATTTCCTGACCTCATATCGCCCGTAATTTATTTTCCCTTCCATATTTGTTATAATATATTTCTTTTCCCATGGATTCCATCATACTTTTTTCCACATCCTATGGTTTTGGAGTGTTTCTTTCCTTCTTTTCTACTCAGATGGCGCTGCTCTCATATTGTCTATGGAGTGCGCCTCTGAGGGAATATAATGCCGACTTGGTTTTTCTTTGGCTAGGCTACGCTTAGTCGGCGGTCTTAGGACTGCTGGCTGGAGACTGCCCTGCACTGATGAGAGTCAAAGAGCTCGAAGCCGGTCTGTAGGTGTCTTGCGTGGCCTGGTTAAATCGAAACCAATAGGCATTCAGGAGAAAATCACTTGTATCAGTATTTGTTTATACGAGTCGATGCATAGATTTCGGGAGGATGTAATTCAATGTTCTGCGTGGCTTAGTCAGGAAAGTTGTTTTTCTCCCGAAATCTACCATTGTTGTTCATTTTATGAACATTGTGTTGAAATGACTTTGAGCTTTTTGTATTAATTTATTATACAGTGTCATTCATAAAGTCAGCATCATATGGGAAAAACTTTTATTAATGAGTTATTTTGAAATTCGAGTTGGACGTCAGTCAGGTTTTGCTTCAAAAAAGATGAAAAATGACCTACTCAATCGGGGTCACGTGACTTTCGCTACATGTCAAAAGTGACATTTTTTCAAATTAATCGCTGAAAGTAGGCTTATTTGTTCGAATATCGAAAAAGTTTACTTAGAAAAGTTGTTTCTATTTCAATTTCACATATGTGACTCGGATTTTATCTTTCTATTACATTTTTTAGATTTCAATATTTTTTAAAATTTTTTCAAATTTCTGTAATATTAAAAAAATTGTAAATTCGATATAGCTACTTCATACCAGTAGCTTCATCATGCTACTAACTCTCAATCACTAATTATCACTATGTATCGACAAAAATATGATTTTCTTCAGAAAATGATAATCTCCGCTTCAAAATTCTGTTATGTTTGATGCAAACATAACATTGAAATGATGTTATGTTTGAGTCAAGCATTTAGAAACGAAATTCATTTGAATTTATTTTTTCAGTACTGAAAAGATCAGTTTGAATGAATTTCGTTTCTAAATGCTTGACGATATATCAACTTTGCATCAAACATAACAGAATTTGGAAGCCAGTATTATCATTTTCTGAAGAAAATCATATTTTTGTCTATAATCAGTGATAATAAGTAATTGAAAGTGAGTAGCATGAAAAAGCTACTGGTATGAAGTAGTTTCGTGAAATAAACAATTCTTCAAATATCACAGAAATTTTGAAAAATTAAAAAAAAAATGAAAATCTAAAAGTTGCAATAGAAAGATCAAATTCGAGAAGCATGTGTAAAATTGAAATAGAAACAACCTTTTCAAGTAAACTTTCTCGATATTCGAACAAATAAGCCTACTTTCAGCGATTAATTGAAAAAATGTCACTTTTGACATGTTGCGAAAGTCACGTGACCCCGATTGAGTAGGCTATTTTTCATCTTTTCTGAAGCAAAACTCAACGTACAGGGTGGCCAACTAAGAATCCAGAGTTCGATACCTCTGTTGTCTTGAGAGATACAAAAAAAGTCATGAATCAAAATTGAAGTAATAACCAAGCTTCACATTTTAAAATTTCTTTGAAATACACAGGGTGTTTCGTAAGGTTACAGCACATCAAAGATATGTTTTTTTCATTGGAACACCCTCTATTTTATTTCATTTTCGTTTTCTCCCTGAAGATCTGATTTCAACGACCCATCATACTAAGGGTCTAGCAGTGAAAGTTACTGACATATAGGGTGTGCAAACTCGAGATTTTCCAAGTTCAGGATTTTTTTCTGTCGAAACTGTTCATTATTCGTCAAAACGGTTTACATGTCCCTATCTCAACTTTTCACTCACTATCAATTGGTGTTCAATTGACATTTAATTGAAACAAATTATAAATTTAGATTTTTTGACCACCTTGTATCAATTTCAATTGAACACCAATTGATAGTGAGTGAAAAGTTGAGATAGGGACATGTGAACCGTTTTGACGAATACTGAACAGTTTCGACAGAAAAAAATCCTGAACTTGGAAAATCCCGATTTTGCCCACCCTATATGTCAGTAACTTTCACTGCTAGACCATAAGTATGATGGGTCGTTGAAATCAGATCTTCAGGGAGAATTCAAAAATGAAATAAAATATAGGGTGTTCCAATGAAAAAAACATAGCTTTGATGTGATCTTACAGAACACCTTGTGTATTTCAAAGAAATTTTGAAATGTGGAGCTCGGTTATTACTTCAATTTTGATACATGACTTTTTTTTTGTATCTCCCAAGACAACAGAGAAATCGAACTCTGGAGTCTTAGTTGGCCACCCTGTACAACTCGAATTCCAAAATAAGACATTAATAAAAGTTTTTCCCATATGATGCCGACTTTATGAATGACACTGTATATTATGCTTCTTGGTTTATAAATACTTCATACTCAACACACAATACAATTTCATTTAAAGGTGCTGCCTTACTAGCATGGACCACTACACCATGGACGTTACCTAGTAACCTAGCTGCATGTGTGAATGGTGAACTGATTTATGCTCGTTTGGAACAAGTCAGTACCAAAAAAATTTACATCATGATGGAATCTCGTATAGAAACAATTTTCCAACCAGATGATTACAAGATTCTAAAAACTTTTCCTGGAAAAGAACTGAAGGGTCTACGTTATGAGCCGATTTTCCAGTATTTCGCACATTTGACACAGAATGCCTTCAGGGTTTTGGTAGATGATTACGTCACTTCTGCGTCTGGTACGGGAATTGTACACCAGGCTCCATACTTTGGAGAAGACGATTTCAGAGTTTGTTTAGCAGCGGGAGTGATAACTAGAGATCAAGAATCAATTTGCCCTGTTGATGATAGTGGGCGATTTACCCAACCTGTAAAAGACTTCCTAGGACAGCATGTCAAAGAGGCAGACAAACATATTATCGCTAAGCTCAAAGAAATGAACAGATTAGTATTGCAGTCACAGGTAAGTTAGTTTGAAAATTCAGTCACGGGTTTTCCAGGTGTGCAATGAATTTTAGTTGGTGAAGCCAAATGCATTTTTCCAGTGGAATTTATAATGAGAAAAATTTTGTTGGGAAAGTAATTATTCAGCAGTCTCCAATTTGGAGATGGCTGATAGTATTATACCCCATAGTCTTTCTACCTCTACATATTCTGAAATGATTCTTTCATATAGCAATATAATTTGACGAGATAATTTATTTTCGAAATGGAAATCGGCACCATCCCTGAACTTCTTTCTATTCAATATCGCCGAGAAGACATGAAGCGTATCTACACTATTGGCATGCACAGTATTTTTGCAACAAAGTACTAGAATTCACAGTAGCCCCACCAAGCAAGTATAATTTTTGCACCTTTTAATTGATCTATAGGAAACATAAATATGTGCGTACATTTAAATTATAGGGAAAGCAAGAAGAACCTTTCCTTTTTTGGATTGGATTGCACGAAAGGGATATCGTGTCTATAGAGGGGGAGAGGGGAGATAAGGTAGGTGTTTGATTTTTTTTTCAGGCAGGTAATGGGGAAGTTTCCCTTTATTGGGATCACTGGTTTTTTGTTGAAGTTCGATGAAATAATCTTTTTTTTATTCAGGAAATAAAATTTGACTTCAGAACAGCAATTTGAGAGATCAGCTTTTGTATGAGGGACATCGCACAAGTACCAATCTCACGTTTCTATTTTGATTTGAATTTGTCAACATTTTGTTTAGCTCTGAGATGAGATGGCATCCGGTGATGAAAGTTTAATGAAGTTCAAGGTTCTCCTCATTCTAGTGAACTGACTAATCTCTTAATTTTTATCTTGAATGTCCTATGAAATGATAGTTGGAGACAAATGATTTCTACATATTATATCATTGTTAATGATTATAGCTTTCTTCATAAATCTTCATTGGTGGTTTTCTTACGGATTCTATCAGTTTATTCAGGATAGTTGACAAGTATGTCTGGCATCAGTGCATTATTCTTCAAGCCAGACTTACAACACATTCACCTGCACCCACCACATCGACAAGTTTTGAGGTTATTCATTTTTCTTCTAGCTTTCCTGTACAGGAGCTTCACTAACGATACATTAAACACTCTGTCAAATTTAATATTGCTTCCTATCACTCAACTATAGAGTTTTGAACAAAAGTGTATAAGGCACTTTCGACTTGAAATTGTTCAAGGAATATGCCCTTAAACTATGGGCATCGAGTCACGGGACACCCTGTATAGTGACCGGATTCACCCCCATGTGTGGGGCGAATTTGGACACTTGCTTTTTTTCTATGGAATACGAATTGTGTTGATTAGCGGGTTGATGTCGGACATTGAAAGAATATAATAAATTCTGTGTAAGAAGTGTTATAAACGCCATTTTAGTAACGAGTATTATAAGCACGAGCGCTACCACCACCAGATTCAGCTGCCACTGAATTTCGTCATGAAAGAATTATAGAGCGTGGACATTTCAGTATCTCTGAGAAATTTTGTTATCTCAAACCGTTTCGAACTTTTCAACAAAAAACAATATTCAGACTCGTATTTTCAACACCCTATATCTCGAAAACGACGCGCTCGAAAGTATATGTTTATATGACCTTTTTTTTATTATTTCAACGAGTACAACACACCGTTGAATATTTTGTATTACAAACCGGACCACTCTGTATACTAGTTTTTATTAGTCAAATATGGTTTTATTGGAACTGAAGTAAACATTTTAGGGCTACGAATCTAGTCACCGAAGGTGGCAGCTCTACTTATCAACTTGGCATAGGGCCCAGTTTATAGGCCCATATGTTAACGATTGATACTTTATGGCCAATGATTTTGTTGTCACTCAATAGATTATCTAGTTATTAGTTGCATGTGTATTCTTAAATATTTCTGGATTCTCACTGGTAAACATTGAGTGGGCCTGTTTCAGTGAAAAATTTTATTTCATTATTTCGAAGTACTAACCCTAACTAGTTCACTGTCGCAAACCGTTTTTTCCCCAGAGCTCTGTACATTTTTTAAATAATTATTGAAATACACGATATTTCGTAACATGAAAAACGCGGGAAAGCGCGTGACGTAGGCAGCCGGTGAACAATTCATATAAGATTCGACATACATATCTATTCTCTCTCTCTTAGACAAGTGCAAAAATATTTCTGATTGTCATTTATCAAAATATGTGAGATGAATATTTTGGTAATGATACTAAAATTGGAGAAGAAGATTCGTATAACCTAACCTATGGTAGTCGTATGTTTTAGTTTATACCGATTTGTCAAAATAGTAGTGAGAATTCGCCCGAAAAACTTTTGTCGACCGTCCCGGCTAGTACCCAACGCAGGAAAAACTGGCAGTGCATCTGGAATTTATTTCAGGACATGACCTCTACTGCTGTGAGGATCATTTCAATGTGGGTTCCCATTGTGAAATGTGATATCCTTGTCACTTTCCGATATTCCAGCTTGAAGACAATGCAGTTAATTGCATGTTTTCCAAAATCACACTCAAGCTGAAACCTCATGCAGTGCCACACAAGTTCTTGAATGTACCGCCACCCACATACAAAAGAAGTGTACTGACTGAAAAGGGAAACAAAAGGAAAGCAGAGTTGCTGGAAAATGTTTGGAAGAAACGAAAAATACAGCTATCAGATTATGCAGAACCCTCATCATCCAAAAATGTAGCAAATACATCTATATCAGTTCCTGACATCATTGAGGTTGAGGAAGAAATAGTTATTCAGACTAATATAAAAGGGCCATTCAGAAGTAGAGGTGTAAATATGGAAAATAAAACTTTTCATGATGTACCCAACCAATGAATCATATCAAGTTGAGGGAGAAGAGCGTGATCAAACCTTGTTGTATGAAACCTTCATTTTCAAGTTCATATACAATATCTGAATCTCTTTCATCTCCTACAAGGGAATATGAGCTAAACAGTCCAACTGATCTTGATGAGATTGCTGAGGAGATTAGAGACAGACATACAAAGGCCAGTCATAAAGAAACTGAAATTTATGCAATAGAACTTTATCAAGATTGTTTCTTGGAAATCCAGGGACTTATATAATAATACATCTTATTTGTGAAGAGGGAAGCATTTCTTGTGAAGAGTGTCTGACTTTGAAAAAAGTGAGAATTCAATGATCAACACCAAAGATTAGCTATTGATTTTGGAGTTAGTATTAGCAATATCCAAAGAATTTTTACCAAAGATGGCAGATGTATTGCAGAATTTTGTATTTCAGCCTGACATAGACAATAGACATTCAAAAAAATACACCAATCACATTTAGAGCTTGGTACAGTAATGTTCAGAGCATAATAGACTGTTTTCAAGTTGAAATTGAGAAGCCAGATCCAGTTATAAAGGCAAATAGCTGGTCTGAATATAAAAGCTGTAATACAGTGGAATTCCTTTTATCTTGTACTCCAAATGGATTCATCAATTTCATACCTAAAGCATAGGTATGGAGGAAGGATATCTGATACAGAGATTGTGAAAAAATCTACCAATTTGAATGACTTACCCACAAATGTATCTATTTTGGCTGATAGAGGCTTTAAACATATTGCCACACTGAGAAAGGTTCTGAGTTAGTTAGGCCACCAAGTGTATCATCACAAATGAAATCTACACCACAAGAAGTACAAAATAGCAAAATAATAGAATCTCTGAGAATTCATGTTGAAAGAGTTATTAGAAGAGTACATGCAAAAATGAACTATTGGTTTTTATATGTCCATGGGTATAAGTGTTCTAGTGCTCATGAATAGTTGTGACAGTGATAAAGTGAAATAAAATGGTTCCATTTTTAATGTGTATATATTTTAGGTACACCAAAGTTGGCATGGTTTTGTGAATTTTGATTTAACAAGTTCTATAAAAAAATATCTACCTATTTATAATATATCATTCTACCATTGTTCATTTTTGTTTCAATCAGATCACTGAATACCTATAATGTTCTATGAAGATTTTTTCATGGCCTATGTAGATCTCTTGTAATATACATTACCTACTGTGGAATAATACTGTATTTTTCATTAATTGAATATTACAATTTTGATATAAGTACTTACTATATTTGTTTTTCATTTATAATCAATAAAAATAAATCACAACAAACTATAATTTGTAAAAGTATAATATGGAATCTATTGTAGATTTTCACCTCATTTTCACCAATTATCTCTACTATGTCTTCATCTCCCAGACACTTTCTTCATTACACTAAAATGAATATAAAATGTTACATATCAATATACCTAGTTTACTAATAAAGCAAGGCTTCATGATTAAAGTGAAGTAGGTAATTAGATGTTTTCTTGGGAACATACCAGGTCTCTTGGCTCAGATGCTTTATCACTGGATTTCTGATTTAAACCTTTTCTCTGCTCTCAGTTTTTGATCCACATCAGTCTTGTGTTTTGAATGGGCTAGAGATTGATGATCCATATTATACTGCCCAAGCTGGATGATTTTCATCTTTCAGGCACTAGGTTCTCCTACAAGGTAAATAAATTATGTGTGTATTGAAAACATGATGTTTCCAAACCATGTAGGGCCATCAAAGGTAATGAGTATTGGCTTCTTTCATCAAAAAGAAAAATGATATATGTTTTCAATAGCATGAAATACTAAATTCATCAGTTCTAGAGTAGGTAGGTACATATGAATAATATTAAAATCCTTTTTCTCAAGTACCTGTTATGAAAATAGTGTTTGCTACATATCCTCTGGTTTATTATGAATGTTTCTGTTGTTTATTCTTTCTCTTGATGGCTGCTATCCACATTTCCCTTATTTTTCTTGATAGATCCTTCATCTGTGGGTAATGCACAGAGTTTTTCACAGTATCACAGTAGGAAAGGGAATAAACATCAAATGGTCCCACCACAATACATGTTACTGGCATTTTCTTTTCAAAATCACAGTGAGTTTTCATTATTCATAATTAATCTAA